TCGCTCTCTTGAAGACGGAAGGGACATAGCCAGCGGTCAAGGATGAGTTGATTAGCGAGGTGAGGTAGGGGAGAAGGTCACCGGAGATGGTCTGGAGAAGAGAGGAGGGGATGGGGTCAAGCGGGCAGGTTGTTGGGCGGCCTGCAGTCACTAGTCGCAAGATTTTATCTGGAGAGAGAGGGGAGAAAGAAGTCAAAGCATAGGGTAGGGCAGTGTGAGCAGGACCAGCAGTGTCATTAGACTTAACAAACGAGGATCGGATGTCGTCAACCTTCTTTTCAAAGTGGTTGACGAAGTCATCCACAGAGAGGGAGGAGGGGGGGGGGGGGGGGGTGGGGGGGAGGATTCAGCAGTGAGGAGAATGTGGCAAAGAGCTTCCTAGGGTTAGAGGCAGATGCTTGGAATTTAGAGTGGTAGAAAGTGGCCTTAGCAGCAGAAACAGATGAAGAAAATGTAGAGAGGAGGGAGTGAAAAGATGCCAGGTTGGCAGGGAGTTTAGTTTTCTTCCATTTCCGCTCAGCTGCCCGGAGCTCTGTTCTGTGAGCTCGCAATGAGTCATCAAGCCACGGAGCTGGAGGGGAGGACCGAGCCGGCCGGGAGGATAGGGGACACAGGGAGTCAAAGGATGCAGAAAGGGAGGAGAGGAGGGTTGAGGAGGCAGAATCAGGAGATTGGAGGGAGAAGGATTGAGCAGAGGGAAGAGATGATAGGATGGAAGAGGAGAGAGTAGTGGGAGAGAGAGAGCGAAGGTTGCGGCGGCGCGTTACCATCTGTGTAGGGGCAGAGTGAGTAGTGTTGGAGGAGAGCGAGAGAGAAAAGGATACAAAGTAGTGGTCGGAGACATGGAGGGGAGTTGCAGTGAGATTAGTAGAAGAGCAACATCTAGTAAAGATGAAGTGAAGCGTATTGCCTGCCTTGTGAGTAGGGGGGGACGGTGAGAGGGTGAGGTCAAAAGAGGAGAGGAGTGGAAAGAAGGAGGCAGAGAGAAATGAGTCAAATGTGGACATAGGGAGGTTGAAATCCCCCAAAACTGTGAGGGGTGAGCCATCCTCAGGGAAGGAACTTATCAAGGCGTCAAGCTCATTGATGAACTCTCCAAGGGAACCTGGAGGGCGATAGATGACAAGGATATTAAGCTTAAATGGGCTAGTGACTGTGACAGCGTGGAATTCAAATGAGGAGATAGACAGATGGGTTAGGGGAAAAATTGAGAATGACCACTTGGGAGAGATGAGGATTCCTGTGCCACCACCCCTCTGACCAGATGCTCTCGGGGTATGCGAGAACACATGGTCAGACGAGGAGAGAGCAGTAGGAGTAGCAGTGTTTTCAGTGGTAATCCATGTTTCCGTCAGCGCCAGGAAGTCGAGGGACTGGAGGGTAGCATAGGCTTGGATGAAGTCAGCCTTGTTGGCAGCAGAACGGCAGTTCCAGAGGCTGCCTGAGACCTGGAACTCCAGGTGTGTGGTGCGTGCAGGGACCACCAGGTTAGAGTTTGTGTAGCCTGTGCGGAGAGGAGAGAACAGGGATAGGCAGAGGCATAGTTGACAGGCTGTAGCAGATGGCTACAATAATGCAGAGGAGATCGGAATGAAATGAACTAAACATCTGGGAAAGGAGAGAGCAGGGCCTCCCTCACCAAAAAAAATATAACTCTCCCAACTTCCACCTCAGAAACTATAATTGTTTCACTGAACCACCCGAATAAAACTCTCCCAACTTCCACTTTAGAAATTAGAATTGTTGTAAACTACAGCGGTTCAATGTTTCAAGGAATAGACTCAACTTACTTTATTCAGCTAGCTAACTATGACGCCATAGCTAACTAGCATGCTAGCATCCAATAACACACAGTTTAGCACCAATACTTGGTTACAACAAACTACCAATAGTGTGTTAACACACTAAACAGATAATTCGTGTCCGTGTCTAGTTCTTTCATAACGCAGCAATAATTAAACGTTGGCTAGCTAGCACAAAGATATTGTATTTAGCTACCACAGTACAGCTAGCTGGTAGTGTTGGCTAGCTAGCAATGGCTGCTATGTTGACTTTGTTTTAAAAACGGCGTCGCTGCGAACGAATGTAGCTGGCTAAAAGGATATTGTATTTAGTTGCTACCGTTGCTAATAGCTACTCGCCAGCTAGTGCAGGAGGTGAGTTAGCTAGCTAGCTTCGTGCTACACCCGGCACCGCCGAATACAAAAGTAACCTACAATAACTACATACAACAACTACCCACAACAGCCCACGATGCCTACCTATAATACCTAACTCCAATCTAAATACATAGTTTAAGCCTTACTCGACAAAGCCCTAGCTATGTATAAAGCCAAACTTACCCGACGCCAGCTGTCTGGGTGGCAGACTGCAATCAGTAGCTGTAATTAAGTACAGCAGCTACCAACCACCTAACGTTAATGCCTCGGATAATGTTGTGGTCGACGTCGTAACAGGATGCCTGTTGAAACCACATCAGACGATTTCGTCGGCAAACCAGTCGTGTTGGATCGGCGGGGCTCAAGGCTAGCTCAAGGCTAACTGGTGCTTGCTAAGGGGCAATGGTAATTAGCCAACAACAGGTTGCAGCTAGCTGGTTGCGATGATCCGGCGCTAGGGTCCAGTGATTCCGGCAGAAAATCCGATATGCTCTGGGTCGATAGCACGCTGTGCAGACTGGCCGACGAATTGTCCAGGCCAGAGCTAGAGCTGGCTGGTGGGTAGTGCAGGCCACGGACAATGGTGAAGACGCTAACGGTGGCTAATAGCAAGTAGCCATTTGGTTGCAGCTAGACTAGTTTCAGCTTAAGGTTCTTGATAAAAGTTATAAAGAAATAATAGAATCCTTTCCACTTTGGGTGAGGCGGGTTGCAGGAAAGTATATTTAGTTAAAGAATTAAAAGTAAAATTGAGAAATATATACAAAATAGACAAAAAACAAGAAACTGGCTATTTACACAAGGACACAGAAAAAAAACACGACCACACTGCTACGCCATCTTGGATATAAGTTATAAAACAGTAGGAGTTCAGCCTGTACAGTAGTTAAACCATATGTTATGAAACAGTAGGAGTTCAGCCTGTACAGTACAGTAGTTAAACCATACGTTATAAAACAGTAGGAGTTCAGCCTGTACAGTAGTTAAACCATACGTTATGAAACAGTAGGAGTTCAGCCTGTACAGTAGATAAACCATACGTTATAAAACAGTAGGAGTTCAGCCTGTACAGTACAGTAGTTAAACCATAAAGTTCAGCAGAGCAGTAGGGTCACAACAGTGTGTGGTGTTTGTTAATATGTCTGGGTTGTCATTTCTCTTTGCCGATGGTATTCCATCTACTTCTTGCTTCGCCAAAATACAGGTGATGCATCCCAAATGGTACCTTGTTCCCTAGTGCACTATAAAAGGGTTTCACTTCGGACTCAACCAGGCAGCGATTCACCTTTATAAAAAAAACATAGAAATTGTAATTTGCACCCTCTCAAAAAATAAAGTTATGCTACAGCTAGCACCGACTGTACTGTGTGTGTGTGTGTGTGTGTGTGTTTGTGTGTGAGTGTGTGTGTGTTCACCAGGAGGTAGAACTCTGTACAGGCTTCAAAGGAAGAGGACAGGTTCCCTTGAATAATTCATAGACAGAAGGACAAACATATGTTGCCATTCTTCTTCCCTTTAGCATGGCAGTGTTGTAGCTTCTCTCTCTAACACATTACTGATTGGCTCTGTGGCTGTGCTACACCTTTCAGGCTCGTCTAACGCTGTGGCTCGGGGCTGAAACATGTTTCAGGTACATTAGTGGCTACCTGCCGCACTGAGGAGTGGCACGGCCCCTTCTTTCAGCGTTGTGGCCTGTTTCTAGTTTACCCTCCCTGGTTACGTGTCCTAGCCCCTATCTGTCTTCACAGCTGCGTGACGGTCACAATGTGTGTGTGTGTGGACTGTGTACTGTGGATCCAAGGCTGGTTTTCTCTATAGGCTGTAAATGTAGAAGTCCGTGCTATAGGCCCTTGTCTGACATATCCACTATCTTGTGCACTACTTTCGACCAGAGCTTCTACGTGGGCAGCTTCTAAAATAAACTGGAGGAAAGCTCCGTTCTATAGACCAATAGGCATCACTCCCAATCCAAAAACTCCTCTAATAAGGTAGTGCACTGTATAGGAAATAGGGTGCCATGTCAGACAAAGCCCTAGTCCAATGCCCTCATTTCTCAGAGAAATAATTCCCAGTTTAAACACACTGTCAGAGGAAGATGAAGGTGTCCCATCTCTAAACTGCTCTCACCTTTGGCATTCGTACGTAATGTACTTATTGTGATCGAGATGTAGTTGTCCCTGATTGCACTGACTTTGCTCACAGCTGCTTGTTTGAAGAAGTGTACTTACTGTGATCAAGATGTGGGTGTCCCACTGTCTATCCTAAGTTCAATGCACCAATTTGTAAGTCGCTCTGGATAAGAGCGTCTGCTAAACGACTTAAATGTTAAATGTACGTCTTCATCAGCAGACTAGGGCTGTATCTCAAATGGCACCCTATTCCCTATATAGTGCACTACTTTATATAGGCTCTGGTCAAAAGTAGTGCAATATATAGGGAATAGGGTGCCATTTGAGATGCTAGGAATGTTTAGTTTTCATGTGGCGTCGTCTGATGCCTGGAGGAGGAAATATTGAAGATCTTTAACAGCATATACTGTATCATCACTCTGGAGGAGGACATATTAAAGATCTTTAACAGGATATACTGTATCATTACTCTGGAGGAGGACATATTGAAGATCTTTAACAGGATATACTGTATCATCACTCTGGAGGAGGAAATATTGAAGATCTTTAACAGGATATACTGTATCATCACTCTGGAGGAGGAAATATTGAATATCTTTAACAGCATATACTCTCTCTCTCTCTCTCTCTCTCTCTCTCTCTCTCTCTCTCTCTCTCTCTCTCTCTCTCTCTCTCTCTCTCTCTCTCTCTCTCTCTCTCTCTCTCTCTAGTGCTGTTTGGCCAGTTTGTGGTGTTCCAGACGTTGGTGAGTGATGTTGTGAAGATCTACGATGGACCAACTCCAGACTCTCCCGTCCTCTCGTCCATCTACGGCTCTCACTCAGGTAGAGAACATCACCTTTACTCTTTCCAGTGAATCGTATCATGACCTGACAGGGCTCACCTGAAAATAACAAATCTCAATGTGACTTCCCTGGTTAAATAAAGGAGATCAAATAATAAAACATAATATTGTTGAGTTCAAGGCGATGGCTTTAACAAAACCAAAACTTTCTCCCCCTGAAGGAGAGACTTTAACTTTAAGTTCTGGGAACAAAATCACCATCAAGTTCACCACCGTGGGTTCAGAGACAGCCAAGGGATTCCACTTTGTGTATCAAGGCAAGTTATCTATATTATTTATCTTTGATATGAAGATAGATGAACTGCCTTGCAGTTGCTAACTGCTTAATATCTTGGCAGAGAGGAGAACATTTGGCTGCCCTTAAAAGCACTACATCATGTCATAGTATCTTGATTGATCTATCTCTCTGCCATTGAAAGAACCATTCAGCGGTGCTCCATTGAGTGCTGAGGATAGTTGAGCAGAGCAGAGCAGGGAGAAGACAGGGGCAGATGCAGAGATTGACTGATGATCTGAGAGAGGATGTTTGGTGGATATTTTTCACCACCACGTCCTATATCTCTGTGCCAATCCCTTGTCTTCTCTCTGTCTCTCTCTGTCTCTCTGCCTGTCTTCTCTCCTCCCAGCTGTCCCCAGGACCAGTGCATCCCAGTGCAGCTCTGTGCCGGAGCCCAGGTTTGGGAAGCGGATAGGGAACGACTTTGGCATTGGCACAGTGGTGCTGTTTGAATGCAATCCAGGCTACGCTCTGCACGGCGCCACTGCCATCAGGTGTGAGGCCGTCCCCAACACTGTGGCTCAGTGGAACGGCACTGTGCCCACCTGCGTAGGTAAGTAGACTGAGCCAACTCCTCACAGTGACAGACCTAGCTGCACCGCCCCAAACCACACAGTCACAGACCTACAGGGAAACTAACAGACCTACAGGGAAACTAACAGACCTACAGGGAAACTAACAGACCTACAGCAAAACTAACAGACCTACAGGGAAACTAACAGACCTACAGGGAAACTAACAGACCTACAGCGAAACTAACAGACCTACAGGGAAACTAACAGACCTACAGGGAAACTAATTTTTTGTTGCAGCAATTAGACCTAGATGACAAAACTTTTTCTGATTACCAATATTTACATGAAATGATAGCACATGCTGTACATTATCCCAACATGGTGTCAGTTTATCACAGGACCACAGCATATGTAAGAGGGTTCCTTTGTGCTTTTTGCATCTCCAACAGAGATGTGACATTTCTAGGGGCATTACATGCATTCTGGCAGGAGTGTAGTAAGTCCTATGAATTATCTTAGGTTGTAGGAGCAGGAATGAAAATTTTCACATATCTGTGACCAATGGATCTCCTCAAATGTTTCCGATTTTTTCCTTATAGGTTCTGAACCATCAGGTAGAGTTTCAATCAACTCAACCCTTGATATAACTTGGCAATCAACTTCTTTGGCGTAGCAGCTTCTTTCAGTATTTTTTCTATGCTAGATGCCTTAGGTTCATCCGGATTCTGTTGAAGTGATTGAATAAGATTTCTGGGTTGTAAGAACTTAAAGAAATTAGTCTTGGATAATCCAAATATTTATTGTTATTGTTTGAATGACAGTAGAGATCCATCATAGTACACATGTTCAAAATTAATGATGCCACTTTGGAACCAGGATTTAGAGATGTTGTCATTAAACGCTGGAGGTAAGGTGGGGTTGTTCAAAATAGGGGTGCCTGGTGATATTGGTTATATCCACCTCATGAATTGATGTACACTTTCCCAAATACAAATGGAATTGAGAATCATTGGATTGTAAAAAAAAATGTTCTTCAATGCCTTGGACCCGAAGTAGTGAATATATTTGAGATCATAAAGTATTGCATTTGTGGCATCGATACTCCTCCATGCACAAGGATAGTGTGCTGTCTGTCCATTGTTTAAGTGAACACGGTTGTGCAGCCCACTAATACTTTTTCATATGAGGTAGTCCAAGACCTCCAGATTTATAGGGGAAGTGTAAAACAGTCAATTTGATCTTGAGGTCTTTCCATTCCAAATAAAGTTGGAGAGCAGGCCATTTATTTTATTAACAAAGTTAGATGGAGCTTCTCTCTCTTAAAGGGATACTTGAGGATTTTGGCAATGAAGCCCTTTATCTACTCCCCCAGAGTCAGATGAACTTGTGGATACCATTTTTATGTCTCTGTGTCCAGTATGAAGGAAGTTATAGGTAATTTTGCGAGCCAATGCTAACTAGCGTTCGTGCAATGACTGAAAGTCTATGGGTGTCTGCTAGCATGCTAGCAGATACCCATAGACTTCCAGTCGTTGTGCAGGTGCTAGTTAGCAAGTTCCTTCAAACTGCACTCAGAGACATAAAAATGGTATCCATGAGTTCATCTGACTCTGGGGGAGTAGATAACATCCCAAAGTATCCCTTTAACTCTCTCTTAACAAAAACCATATGCTCAATTACGCCAAACTCTTTTTACAGAAGGTGACAGCGGATACATTTGATTTTGCGGTATCTGTGCAGAAAAGTTGAGTTTATCTTTTAGTAACCTTCTGGTATTGAATCGGTCAGTCACGCAACGTCTGTTTAGCTTACCTTCCAAAAAACGATCCGGCATCATAATGAGTTTTGTTGTTTTGTTGTTTCAATTAGGGTCTCCTGAATGAACAAGCATTGTTTTAGATAGCGGAAACCCACAGAGTAGCTAGGAGGGGAATGGAATCAAACCTGGTTTTAGATAGCAGATACCCATAGAGTAGGAGGGGAATGGAATCAAACCTGGTTTTAGATAGCAGATACCCATAGAGTAGGAGGGGAATGGAATCAAAACTGGTTGTAGATAGCAGATACCCATAGAGTAGGAGGGGAATGGAATCAATCCTGGTTTTAGATAGCAGATACCCATAGAGTAGGAGGGGAATGGAATCAAACCTGGTTTTAGATAGCGGAAACCCATAGAGTAGGAGGGGAATGGAATCAATCCTGGTTTTAGATAGCAGATACCCACAGAGTAGCTAGGAGGGGAATGGAATCAAACCTGGTTTTAGACAGCAGAAACCCATAGAGTAGCTAGGAGGGGAATGGAATCAAACCTGGTTTTAGATAGCAGAAACCCATAGAGTAGCTAGGAGGGGAATGGAATCAATCCTGGTTTTAGATAGCAGATACCCATAGAGTAGCTAGGAGGGGAATGGAATCAAACCTGGTTTTAGATAGCAGATACCCATAGAGTAGCTAGGAGGGGAATGGAATCAAACCTGGTTTTAGATAGCAGATACCCATTGAGTAGGAGGGGAATGGAATCAAAACTGGTTGTAGATAGCAGATACCCATAGAGTAGGAGGGGAATGGAATCAAACCTGGTTTTAGATAGCAGATACCCATAGAGTAGCTAGGAGGGGAATGGAATCAATCCAAAGTGGCAGTGTGTTTGTTTTGTGTCTTCACTCTTCCGTCAGAAATTTGTTTTAGAACTTTATTGTCCATGCAATGTGGACAACATGATTGACTGAACACAACAAACAACATTAAAATGTACCAGTGCTCTCAGATCTGCTTGTCTCCCATCCAGTATGGTGTATTACTGAAGCAGACCTGCTTGTCTCCTATATGGTGTGTGTGTGTTTCCTCCTGATATGACCTTTATGGTATCTATTACTGAAGCAGGCCTGCTTGTCTCCTATATGGTGTGTGTGTGTTTCCTCCTGATATGACCTTTATGGTATCTATTACTGAAGCAGACCTGCTTGTCTCCTGTATGGTGTGTGTGTGTTTCCTCCTGATATGACCTTTATGGTATCTATTACTGAAGCAGACCTGCTTGTCTCCTGTATGGTGTGTGTGTGTGTGTGTGTGTTTCCTCCTGATATGACCTTCATGGTATCCAATAGTAACCCATGATAGTTGATGCATCTTTAAATAACCCCTCTGTCTTAATTTCTAACTGATATTTTCATCTCTCTGTGACATGAAACCACTTGCGTGTTGCGTGACGCTTTTGAGAACGTTTGTTCCCTCTCCAATTGCATTTTGGAAGTTTCCCGCGTAGCCTACAGCTATGTGAGCATTGTTGAGCTTATAATATGAATAAATAAAACTTCATCAACATTTTAAAGCTAAACAGTCTGATCTGTTGCGCCAGCCTCATTGCTTTTTTCTTTTCTTTTTTTAATGTGCAGTGGTTGTGTTTTTTATTGTTTTATTTTAACCTTTATTTTGACAGGGAAGACATATTGAGACCTAGGTCTCTTTTCAAAATGTCAATAATTTTTGGTTTATAGTCCCAGCTCTACGCAGATGCAGGATCTTAATTTGACCAGGAAAATAATCGTGCAGCAACAGGAAATGTGAATTATTGTGTGGATTATAATAAATGGACATTTTTGTAGGGGTTGATCCATTTTTAGTTAGGTGCAAATCAAGTAAAATATTTTTTGGGGGAAATTACAAACTTTAGAAGGCTTTTAGAACCTAGAATACACTACAAGCAACAACAGGATGATCAAATTAAGATCCTATACCTGTATGTAGGGAATAGGGTGCCATTTGGGACGCAGACATAGTGATTATGGCAGAGATTGAGAGCTGTATTTGTATTTATTATGGATCCCCATTAACTGCTGTCAAGGCAGCAGCTACTCTTCCTGGGGCCCAGCAAAATTAAGGAAGGCACATGAAGAGGCAGGCATGATCACCAAGTCTGCTTCACCTGAGGAGTGAGGAGATTAATAATGAAGTCGCTTTCTGTGATTTCTCACAGTGTGTGTGTGTGTGTGTGTGTGTGTGTGTGTGTGTGTGTGTGTGTGTGTGTGTGTGATTCTCGCGGCGTCTGTCTGTGTGTGAGAGTAGTGAAGAGGATATCACCTGTAAAATATTGCTGAGTTTGAAATTGCAGTGAACTGGATTAGGGCAATAATTAGATTTGTGAGCTTCTACATGCAGCATGATCAACAACACTCTGAGGCAGGAGAAATCATGCTGTGGGTTTATATACTGTCCTCTATACATCCTGACTGGTTGGTGCAGTAGATACAGGCTATATGTAGCCAACTAAGTAGTTGTCTGTAGACTACCCCTCTTTGTCCTTGGTGCGGTAGATACAGGCTATATCTAGACAACTAAGTGGTTGTCTGTAGACTACCCCTGTTTGTCCTTGGTGCGGTAGATACAGGCTATATCTAGACAACTAAGTGGTTGTGTCACGATCGTCTAATGAGGGAGACCAAAGCGCAGCGCGTTGAGCGAACATGACTTTATTAAATTAAAGTACTCACTACAAAAACAACAAACAATGACGAATCGTGAAGTCCTCAGTTACAAAGACTGACAAGGAACAAAAACCCACAACACTAAGGTGAACACTGACAGTTTAAATATGGCTCCCAATCAGAGATAACGAGCCGACAGCTGACACTCGTTACCACTGATTGGGAGTCACACGACCAAACAAGGAAACACAACCAAATACAACACAACCAATACCAAACACAACCAAATGAACACACCCTGGCTCAAAATACACAGTCCCGGAGCCAGAGCGTGACAGTACCCCCCCCCTAAAGGCGCGGACTCCGACCGCGCCTACACCCCAAATAGGGAAGGGCTGGGTGGGTATTGCTCCTCGGAGGCGGCTCCGGCTCCGGGCTTGACCACCACCCTACTACAATCCCCCCGTAGTGCCCCCAGTCCGATCTGACCCAGTTAGCTGGATCAGGACTGCCGACGCGCACCCCTGGCTTGGCGCGTGAGGCAGGAATGGACCGGACCTGGCAGACGATACGCACCCTTTGCATGGTGCGTGGAGCCGGAACAGGCCTCACCAGGCTGAAGACTCGCATCCCTGGCTTGGTGCGAGTAGCAGGAATGGGCTGAATCCGGCTGACGACTCGCACCCTTGGCTTGGTGCGAGTAGCAGGAATGGGCTGAATCCGGCTGACGACTCGCACCCTTGGCTTGGTGCGAGTAGCAGGAATGGGCTGAATCCGGCTGACGACTCGCACCCTTGACTTGGTGCGAGTGGCAGGAACAGGCAGAATCCGGCTGACGACTCGCACCCTTGGCTTGGTGCGAGTAGCAGGAACGGGCTGGACCAGGCTGGCGACTCGCACCCCTGGTTTGGTGCGAGTGGCAGGAACAGGCCGGACAGGGCTGACGAAACGCACCATAGACTTGGTGCGGAGAGCAGGCACGGGCCGGACAGGGCTGGCGACGCGCCCCACTGACCTGGTGCGGGGAGCTTGGATGGGCCGGACTGGGCTGGCGACGCGCACCACAGACCTGGTGCGGAGAGCAGGAACGGGCCGGACAGGGCTGACGAAACGCACCATAGACTTGGTGCGGAGAGCAGGCACGGGTCTGACAGGGCTGGCGACGCGCACCACAGACTTGGCGCGGAGAGCAGGAACGGGCCGGACAGGGCTGACGACGCACACCACTGGCTTGGTGCGGGGAGCTTGGATGGGCCGGACTGTACTGGGGACACACACCACTGGCCCTACACCGGGATCTGGAACGGGCCGGACCGGACTGGCAACACACGCCAGTACCTCTCGCCGTGCCTCTACTTCCTCCATCCCCTCTTCGACCAGTGGCCCCCGTAACCCGACGGCCTCCTCCGGCAACCCACTGGACCGCTCTATCGCGGCCTCCTGCTGGTCCGACGTCGTGAGCCCCCCCCCTAAAAATTTTCTGGGGTTCTCTCCTCTTCGTGGACCAGGCCTCCATCGTTCTCGCCAGACTATCACCCCACTGCTCCAAAGTCCAACCTTTCTCCTCTTCTCTTGGCTTGGCCCAGTCGAGACTCCTACTCAACTGCTCCCAAGTCCATCCTCTCTCTTCTTCATGCTGCTTGATCTGGTTAAGGTGGGTTTTTCTGTCACGATCGTCTAATGAGGGAGACCAAAGCGCAGCGCGTTGAGCGAACATGACTTTATTAAATTAAAGTACTCACTACAAAAACAACAAACAATGACGAATCGTGAAGTCCTCAGTTACAAAGACTGACAAGGAACAAAAACCCACAACACTAAGGTGAACACTGACAGTTTAAATATGGCTCCCAATCAGAGATAACGAGCCGACAGCTGACACTCGTTACCACTGATTGGGAGTCACACGACCAAACAAGGAAACACAACCAAATACAACACAACCAATACCAAACACAACCAAATGAACACACCCTGGCTCAAAATACACAGTCCCGGAGCCAGAGCGTGACAGGTTGTCTGTAGACTACCCCTGTTCGTCCTTGGTGCGGTAGATACAGGCTATATCTAGACAACTAAGTGGTTGTCTGTAGACTACCCCTGTTCGTCCTTGACAGACAGGCATCAGGTTCTGTATATGAGGACTGAAGGAGGCGTCTCAAATGGCACCCTATTCCATAAATAGTGCACTACTTTTGACCAGATTCCTATGGGTTTCCCTGCACTATATAGGGAATAGGGTGCCATTTGAGACGCAGACTGAACATCCTTGCCGTATTTAACATCCAGAGAGGCCTTGGGGATTGACAGCTCGGTTTCTCCACTAAGGTTAGGTGGTGAACACAATAGCTGGCCAACCTTTAACCAGGCAGTATTGCACTCCTCCACAGGAAACTAAAGAATCGCATTGTTTCTCTCCTCCTGGATTAGATAAAAGTGGTGTTTATATTCAGGGAACATTCACATGACATCATCATGTGTTCCATTGTTGAAAGGAGAGTAGACGTAAAATGCCATTATCATTAGTCCCTGTTATTCTGATATCTGTCATGAAATGAATGAGTAAACAACCCGTTGACTGTAGTTGTTGGTAGTCTGTATGACTGTCACTGGTGATAATACACAACAGAACAACTGCTGTGATTTGAGTTAGCTCTCTAAAGCAACACATTGTATTATTTCATATAACTAATAGTATACAGTGTTTTTTTTTTTATCAGTGGCTGATGGATGTCTGTATTGTTTGAACTACAATAGGCCTTACAGCTGTTCATATTGTAATGTGCAGTAGTGGCCTTTCAGATATTGCCGTAAAAGCAGTACGTGACGTGCTTTGATCTGTGCTGTAAAATATATAGCTATGTTCCTATATCCACACTAGGAAACCACTTAGAATGCATGCCCGATACGTTGAAGTGTGGATATTGGAGAGCCTAAGGCCTGTAATCAGTTGTGGTCCTCTGAGGTTTATAATGAACCCCTGGGACCAGCAGGATATCTACAGTAATCAGTTATAGTCCTCTGAGGTTTATAATGAACCCCTGGGACCATCAGGAGATCTACAGTAATCAGTTATGGTCCTCTGAGGTTTATAATGAACCCCTGGGACCAGCAGGAGATCTACAGTAATCAGTTATGGTCCTCTGAGGTTTATAATGAACCCCTGGGACCAGCAGGAGATCTACAGTAATCAGGTATAGTCCTCTGGGGGTTTATAATGAACCCCTGGGACCAGCAGGAGATATACAGTAATCAGTTATGGTCCTCTGAGGTTTATAATGAACCCCTGGGACCAGCAGGAGATATACAGTAATCAGGCTGGCTGGGGTAAACGGGTGACAAATGATGGATAGATGAAACCCATGGATGGATGTCTATGAGATGGTGGGATGCATGGATGAGTAACCCTCCATAAAAAATGAGAACAGGTGGCTGGGGTGAATGGATAGGGCAGATGAGGGATGGATGGATGAAGCCCCATGGATAGATGATGATGATGATGATGATGATGATGAGATGGAGGGATGCATGGATGAACCCTGGACTCCATGGTGATGGAATAGGAGGACACCCTGGACTCCATGGTGATGGAATAGGAGGACACCCTGGACTCCATGATGATGGAATAGGAGGACACCCTGGACTCCATGATGATGGAATAGGAGGACACCCTGGACTCCATGATGTTGGAATAGGAGGACACCCTGGACTCCATGATGATGGAATAGGAGGACACCCTGGACTCCATGGTGATGGAATAGGAGGACACCCTGGACTCCATGGTGATGGAATAGGAGGACACCCTGGACTCCATGGTGATGGAATAGGAGGACACCCTGGACTCCATGATGATGGAATAGGAGGACACCCTGGATTCCATGATCAAAACCCCAACTTCAATTTAGTAGAAGAGATTATTAATATCACCGTAACAGAACGGTCCATTGTTGTGTAATGAAGCATCACCGTAACAGAACGGTCCATTGTTGTGTAACGAAGCATCACCGTAACAGAACGGTCCATTGTTGTGTAATGAAGCATCACCGTAACAGAACGGTCCATTGTTGTGTAATGAAGCATCACCGTAACAGAACGCTACAGCAGCATAGGATAGCTGTTTGTACCGCTACACATGACTGGCGAGTCCATTCTATCCAGTTTACAGTCAGACATGTTGGTTTTAGATCATGTCTAATATAGTCACTCACTGTCTGGCTGCTGCTGCACATTCTATTAACCCTGCCGGAGAGGCTTTGTGGTTTGAAATGTTTATCTTATAGCGGCCTAACCTAGAATACAACTTCTCCAGTCCTTTGTGTTCCTCATTTACCCTGGAGTTGAAGTGGGCCTTTTGGTTTTTCATATCTCCCTCTTCCTTACCTTGTCCAGAGTGTGTGTGTGTGTGTGTGTGTGTCTACGCGTCTCTGCGTCTCTTTGGTGTGATGTCTCTCCCTTCCTTACGTTGTCTCCTGCCTGCTCTCTTACTATGTCTCATGTCTCTGGGTGACTTGTCTCTCTCTTCTCTCCCCCTGGTCTCTGGGTGACTTGTCTCTCTCTTCTCTCCCCCTTGTCTCTGGGTGACTTGTCTCTCTCTTCTCTCCCCCTTGTCTCTGGGTGACTTGTCTCTCTCTTCTCTCCCCCTTGTCTCTGGGTGACTTGTCTCTCTCTCTTCTCTCTTCTCTTCTCTACCCCTGTGCAGTTCCCTGTGGAGGGCTGCTGACGTCTCGTAAGGGGACCATCCTTTCTCCTGGTTACCCAGAGCCCTACGCCAACTATCTCAACTGTGTCTGGAAGGTCTCTGTGCCAGAGGGAGCAGGCATCCAAGTGAGAGACGCAGCATGTTTGATAGTTAAAAGGGTTTCATGGAATTTTAATTAAAGTTTCATGGAATTTTATCTTAGAATGGGAATTTGCAAAATGGGTCCCATTATTGATTTTTCTATTCTTACATTTCTTTCTTCTTTACCTTCTTCAGATCCAGGTCATAACTTTTGCCACTGAACACAACTGGGACTCCTTGGACTTTTTCGACGGCGTTGATGGCAACGCTCCAAGGCTTGGCAGCTATTCAGGTGAATTGTTTGTCTTTTCAGCTCCATTTTGGAATTGAAGTAATGTCTGATCAGAACACTCAGTAAAAGTACTGATGGATATGACTGGGGGAGACGGAGGAAGGCGACATTTGGAATGCTCTTTGAGAAAAGTTCTCAGAATCTCCCACGGCGTGGTTCAAGGAAATTAAAAATGGCCTGACTGACTCTAGTCTCCACCTGATGAAGAAGACCTGAGTGGTGGAAACAGTGTCAAATAAATCTATCAACTGGGACTTAATAAATCAATATCCAGCACCTGCTCAGAGACAATGGATGTGTGTAGGGCAGGGCTCTACAACCCTGTTCCTGGAGATCTACCCTCCTGTAGGACAGTTTCTCTCCAGCAACAGGGTTGGAGTTAAAACCTATAGGATGGTATCTCTCCAGGAACAGGGTTGGAGTTAACCCTACAGGAGGGTATCTCTCCAGGAACAGGGTTGGAGTTAAAACCTACAGGAGGGTATCTCTCCAGGAACAGGGTTGGAGTTAACCCTACAGGAGGGTATCTCTCCAGGAACAGGGTTGGAGTTAACCCTACAGGAGGGTATCTCTCCAGGAACAGTGTTGGAGTTAACCCTACAGGAGGGTCTCTCTCCAGGAACAGGGTTGGAGTTAACCCTACAGGAGGGTATCTCTCCAGGAACAGGGTTGGAGTTAACCCTACAGGAGGGTATATCTCCAGGGACAGGGTTGGAGTTAAAACCTACAGGAAGGTATCTCTCCAGGAACAGTGTTGGAGTTAACCCTACAGGAGGGTGTCTCTCCAGGAACAGGGTTGGAGTTAACCCTACAGGAGGGTATCTCTCCAGGAACAGGGTTGGAGTTAACCCTACAGGAGGGTATATCTCCAGGGACAGGGTTGGAGTTAAAACCTACAGGAGGGTATCTCTCCAGGAACAGAGTTGGAGAGCCCTGGTGTAGAGTATATGATATTTTCCTATTGACTGTCTTTCCATTAGTATGTTCTACATTCCAGTCACATTCAGAACACAGACCAGTGTTCAATCCCTGTGTCCACCCTTCCTACTGTAACTCCCACTTTACTGTCTCCATGGGTGTGTTCTGTAGGTACCACCATCCCTCAGCTCCTGAACAGCACCTCCAACAACCTCTACCTAACCTTCCAGTCCGACATCAGTGTGTCTGCAGAAGGCTTCCACCTGGAGTATACAGGTATGAAGAGATATACAGTGGGGGAAAAAAGTATTTAGTCAGCCACCAATTGTGCAAGTTTTCCCACTTAAAAAGATGAGAGAGGCCTGTAATTTTCATCATAGGTACACATCAACTATGACAGACAAAATGAGGAAAGAAAATCCAGAAAATCACATTGTAGGATTTTTTATGAATTTATTTGCAAATTATGGTGGAAAATAAGTATTTGGTCAATACAAAAGTTTCTCAATACTTTGTTATATACCCTTTGTTGGCAATGACACAGGTCAAACGTTTTCTGTAAGTCTTCACAAGGTTTTCACACACTGTTGCTGGTATTTTGGCCCATTCCTCCATGCAGATCTCCTCTAGAGCAGTGATGTTTTGGGGCTGTCGCTGGGCAACACAGACTTTCAACTCCCTCCAAAGATTTTCTATGGGGTTGAGATCTGGAGACTGGCTAGGCCACTCCAGGACCTTGAAATGCTTCTTACGAAGCCACTCCTTCGTTGCCCGGGCAGTGTGTTTGGGATCATTGTCATGCTGAAAGACCCAGCCACGTTTCATCTTCAATGCCCTTGCTGATGGAAGGAGGTTTTCACTCAAAATCTCACGATACATGGCCCCATTCATTCTTTCCTTTACACGGATCAGTCGTCCTGGTCCCTTTGCAGAAAAACAGCCCCAAAGCATGATGTTTCCACCCCCATGCTTCACAGTAGGTATGGTGTTCTTTGGATGCAACTCAGCATTCTTTGTCCTCCAAACACGACGAGTTGAGTTTTTACCAAAAAGTTCTATTTTGGTTTCATCTGACCATATGACATTCTCCCAATCCTCTTCTGGATCATCCAAATGCACTCTAGCAAACTTCAGACGGGCCTGGACATGTACTGGCTTAAGCAGGGGGACACGTCTGGCACTGCAGGATTTGAGTCCCTGGCGGCGTAGTGTCTATACTGATGGTAGGCTTTGTTACTTTGGTCCCAGCTCTCTGCAGGTCATTCACTAGGTCCCCCCGTGTGGTTCTGGGATTTTTGCTCACCGTTCTTGTGATCATTTTGACCCCACGGGGTGAGATCTTGCGTGGAGCCCCAGATCGAGGGAGATTATCAGTGGTCTTGTATGTCTTCCATTTCCTAATAATTGCTCCCACAGTTTATTTCTTCAAACCAAGCTGCTTACCTATTGCAGATTCAGTCTTCCCAGCCTGGTGCAGGTCTAATTTTTTGTTTCTGGTGTCCTTTGACAGCTCTTTGGTCTTGGCCATAGTGGAGTTTGGAGTGTGACTGTTTGAGGTTGTGGACAGGTGTCTTTTATACTGATAACAAGTTCAAACAGGTGCCATTAATACAGGTAACGAGTGGAGGACAGAGGAGCCTCTTAAAGAAGAAGTTACAGGTTTGTGAGAGCCAGAAATCTTGCTTGTTTGTAGGTGACCAAATACTTATTTTCCACCATAATTTGCAAATAAATTCATTAAAAATCCTACAATGTGATTTTCTGGAATTTTTTTCTCAATTTGTCTGTCATAGTTGACGTGTACCTATGATGAAAATTACAGGCCTCTCTCATCTTTCTCTGGGCAACACAGACTTTCCTATTAGGAGTATTAGAAATACCTATCATCTCTCAGTATTCCTATTCCTATAAGGAGTATTATAACTACCTATCATCTCTCAGTATTCCTATAAGGAGTATTTGAACAACCTATCATCTATCAGTATTCCTATTCATATAAGGAGTATTATAACTACCTATCATCTCTCAGTATTCCTATAAGGAGTATTAGAACTACCTATTATCTCGCAGTATTCCTATAAGGAGTATTATATCTACCTATCCTCTCAGTATTCCCATAAGGAGTATTATAACTATCTATCCTCTCTCAATATTCCTATAAGGAGTATTATAACTACCTATCATCTCTCAGTATTCCTATCAGGAGTATTATAACTACATATCCTCTCTCAGTATTCCTATAAGGAGTATTAGAACTACCTATCATCTCTCAGTATTCCTATAAGGAGTATTTGAACAACATATCATCTCTCAGTATTCCTATTCCTATAAGGAGTATTATAACTACATATCATCTCTCAGTATTCATATAAGGTGTATTAGAACTACCTATTATCTCTCAGTATTCATATAAGGAGTATTAGAACTACCTATCCTCTCTCAGTATTCCTATAAGGAGTATTATAGCTACCTATCCGCTCTCAGTATTCCTATAAGGAGTATTAGAACTACCTATCATCTCTCAGTATTCCTATTAGGAGTTTTAGAACTACCTATCATCTCTCAGTATTCCTATAAGGAGTATTATAACTACCTATCATCTCTCAGTATTCCTATTCCTATAAGGAGTATTAGAACTACCTATCATCTCTCAGTATTCCTATAAGGAGTATTAGAACTACCTATTATTTCTCAGTATTCCTATAAGGAGTATTATATCTACATATCCTCTCTCAGTATTCCTATAAGGAGTATTATAACTACCTATCCTCTCTCAGTATTCCTATAAGGAGTATTATAACTACCTATCATCTCTCAGTATTCCTATAAGGAGTATTATAACTACCTATCATCTCTCAATATTCATATAATGAGTATTATAACTACCTATAATCTCTCAGTATTCCTATAAGGAGTATTATAACTACCTATCCCTCACAGTATTCCTATTCATATAATGAGTATTAGAACTACCTATTATTTCTCAGTATTCATATAATGAGTATTAAAACTATCTGTTCAGTACTGTATGTTGCTGTTTTGAATGGTTTGTGTTTGTTTCTATGGTCATGTATTGCTCTGTATGTGCAGACAAGTGATTGCTATTGCCACTTTTGTGTTTTGACTCTGTCCTAAGCAATAGGTTTGGATTCATGCCCAGAACCTCAGCCCCCCCTCAACGGTGTCAATGTGGGCCAGCGCTTCACTGTGGGTGACATGGTTTCCTTTCAGTGTGACCAAGGCTACTCTTTGAAGGTGAGCACACACACACACACACACACACACACACACACACACACACACACAGACACACACAGACACACACAGACACACACAGACACACACAGACACACACAGACACACACACAGACACACACAGACAGACACACACACACACAGAGACACACACAGACACACACACACAGCGCTGTTACCTTCCAGTAGGTTTTGGTTTTGCCATGGTGGTGTGGGTGTCAGCAGAAGGTTGAAGGTTTGAATCCAGCGATAGAAACTTGTCTAACTTTACCTTAAACACTTTGAAATGTGACGTTTGAAAAACATAGATGGACGTCTAATTCTGACGAGAGAGCTTGTTGACCCTGTTCCCTATATAGTGCACCACTTAGACCAGGGCCCAAAGGGATATACAGTGGGGGAAAAAAGTATTTAGTCAGCCACCAATTGCGCAAGTTCTCCCACTTAAAAAGATGAGAGAGGCCTGTAATTTTCATCATATGTACACGTCAACTATGACAGACAAATTGAGATATTTTTTTCCAGAAAATCACATTATAGGATTCTTTATGAATTTATTTGCAAATTATGGTGGAAAATAAGTATTTGGTCACCTACAAACAAGCAAGAATTCTGGCTCTCACAGACCTGTAACTTCTTCTTTAAGAGGCTCCTCTGTCCTCCACTCGTTACCTGTATTAATGGCACCTGTTTGAACTTGTTATCAGTATAAAAGACACCTGTCCACAACCTCAAACAGTCACACTCCAAACTCCACTATGGCCAAGACCAAAGAGCTGTCAAAGGACACCAGAAACAAAATTGTAGACCTGCACCAGGCTGGGAAGACTGAATCTGCAATAGGTAAGCAGCTTGGTTTGAAGAAATCAACTGTGGGAGCAATTATTAGGAAATGGAAGACATACAAGACCACTGATAATCTCCCTCGATCTGGGGCTCCACGCAAGATCTCACCCTGTGGGGTCAAAATGATCACAAGAACGGTGAGCAAAAATCCCAGAACCACACGGGGGGACCTAGTGAATGACCTGCAGAGAGCTGGGACCAAAGTAACAAAGCCTACCATCAGTATATACACTACGCCGCCAGGGACTCAAATCCTGCAGTGCCAGACGTGTCCCCCTGCTTAAGCCAGTACATGTCCAGGCCCGTCTGAAGTTTGCTAGAGTGCATTTGGATGATCCAGAAGAGGATTGGGAGAATGTCATATGGTCAGATGAAACCAAAATAGAACTTTTTGGTAAAAACTCAACTCGTCGTGTTTGGAGGACAAAGAATGCTGAGTTGCATCCAAAGAACACCATACCTACTGTGAAGCATGGAGGTGGAAACATCATGCTTTGGGGCTGTTTTTCTGCAAAGGGACCAGGACGACTGATCCGTGTAAAGGAAAGAATGAATGGGGCCATGTATCGTGAGATTTTGAGTGAAAACCTCCTTCCATCAGCAAGGGCATTGAAGATGAAACGTGGCTGGGTCTTTCAGCATGACAATGATCCCAAACACACCGCCCGGGCAACGAAGGAGTGGCTTCGTAAGAAGCATTTCAAGGTCCTGGAGTGGCCTAGCCAGTCTCCAGATCTCAACCCCATAGAAAATCTTTGGAGGGAGTTGAAAGTCTGTGTTGCCCAGCGACAGCCCCAAAACATCACTGCTCTGAATGGGCCAAAATACCAGCAACAGTGTGTGAAAACCTTGTGAAGACTTACAGAAAACGTTTGACCTGTGTCACTGCCAACAAAGGGTATATAACAAAGTATTGAGAAACTTTTGTTATTGACCAAATACTTATTTTCCACCATAATTTGCAAATAAATTCATTAAAAATCCTACAATGTGATTTTCTGGATTTGAAAAAGTATGAAAAATGTATGCACTCACTAACTGTAAGTCGCTCTGGATAAGAGCGTCTACTAAATGACTAAAATGTAAAAATTTAAATAGCCTGACACTGAGTGTGTTAGGTTAAATACTGTGTGTGTGTGTGTGTGTGTGTGTGTGTGGGAGGTTAAACTAACTGTACACACACATACACACACACATACATACACACACATACATACATACACACACACACACACACATACACACACACTTGACCTGTGTTGTTCAGATCCTCAGGTTCTAACTAACCCTCATGGCTCTGAGGAGAAATTCACCTCACAGTAGATAATATTATTAATATTATTACCAGTTAAACACCTCAGCAGGAGTTCCTACACCTCTGCTCTGGCACAAACAACATCAAACATCCACATACTGGTTGCGTCCCAAATGCAACCCTGTTCCTTTCAGAGACGAGGACCCTTTGTCACGCCCTGACTCAGGGGACTCGTATATGTTGAGTCCGGGTGTGAATGTTCTATGTTGTGTATTTCTATGTTGGTGTTCAAGTATATATAGATCTATGTTGGCCGGTGTGGTTCCCAATCAGAGGCAGCTGTCGCTCGTTGTCTCTGATTGGGGACCATACTTAGGCAGCCTATTGGCACTGTCAAGTTGTGGGATCTTGTTCCGTATAAGGTATGTGTTTGTGTCTACCTTGGACTTCACGGTTCGTTTCGTTTCGTTTATTGTTTTGTCGAGTGTTTATTATGTTTAAATAAACATGTATGCATATCACGCTGCGCCTTGGTCCGTCCCGTCTGTAAACGATCGTGACAGAAGATCCCACCAAACGAGGACCAAGCAGCGTGCCCAGGCGGAGCGAAGGGCCATGTCACAGGTGGGCAAGTTGTGGTCATGGGAAGAGATATTTGCAGGGAAAGGACCATGGGCTAAGGTAGATGCCCAGGCAGGAGAGGAGCAATGGCAACACGGAGGAGGCCGGTCGAGGAGGAAGCCCGAGAGGCAGCCATAATAAAACATTTTTGGGGGGCACACGGGGTGGTTGGCGGAGCCTAGGGTTAGAGCAGAGCCAACTCCCCGTACTCACGCAAGAAGGCATATGACTGGGCAAGCTCTGTGTTATGCGGAGCTACGTACTGTGTCGCCAGTGCGCCGGCACAGTCCTGGACGTCCTGTGCTTGCACCACGCACGTGCCGTGCGAAGATGGGCATCCAGCCAGGACGGGTTGTGCCGGCTCAACGCTCCTGGTCTCCAGTACGCCTCCTCGGTCCCACATATCCTGCGCCAGATCTACGAGCTGTATCGCCAGTGCGCGTGCACAGCCCAGTGCGTCCTGTGACAGCGCCCCGCACGTGTAGTGCGAAAGTGGGCAGCCAGCCAGGACGGGTTGTGCCAGCTCTCCGCTCCAGACCTCCAGTCCACCTTCGCAGTCCGGTCCAGCCCGTTCCTGCTCCTCGTACCAAGCCAGTGGTGCGCGTCGCCAGTCCGGCCTGATCCTGCCCCTCGCACCAAGCAAGTGGTGCGCATTGCCAGTCCGGCCCGGCCTGTTCCTGCCCCTCGCACCAAGCCAGTGGTGCGCGTCGCCAGCCCGGCCCGTTCCTGCTCCTCGCACCAAGCCAGTAGTGCGCGTCGCCAGTCCGGCCTGTTCCTGCCCCTCGCACCAAGCCAGTGGTGCGCGTCGCCAGTCCGGCCCGGCCTGTTCCTGCCCCTCGCACCAAGCCAGTGGTGCGCATCGCCAGTCCGGCCGGCCTGTTCCTGCCCCTCGCACCAAGCCAGTGGTGCGCGTCGGCAGTCCGGCCCGGCCTGTTCCTGCCCCTCGCACCAAGCCAGTGGTGCGCGTCGCCAGCCCAGCCCGGCCCGTTCCTGCTCCTCGCATCAAGCCAGTGGTGCGCGTCGGCAGTCCGGCCCGGCCTGTTCCTGCCCCTCGCACCAAGCCAGTGGTGCGCGTCGCCAGCCTGGCCCGGCCCGTTCCTGCTGCTCGCATCAAGCCAGTGGTGCGCGTCGCCAGCCCGGCCCGGCCCGTTCCTGCTCCTCGCATCAAGCCAGTGGTGCGTGTTCCTAGTCCGTTCCGGCCCATGCCTGCTCCTCGCACCAGACCAGTGGTGCGTGTGTCCAGTCCGGCACGGCCCGTGCCTGTTCCACCGGTGCCTGGTCTGGCACCGGTCAGCTGCTCCACTCCGGAGCCAGAGCAGTCCGCTCCACCGGTGCCTGATCCAGCTCCGGTTAGCTGCTCCACTCCGGAGCCAGAGCAATCCGCTCCACCAGGGTCAAGTCCAGCTCCAGTCAGCGGATCGACTCCGGTCCAGAGCAGTCCGCTCCACCGGTGCCCAGTTCAGCTCCGTTCAGCTGCTCCACTCCGGAGCCAGAGCAATCCGCTCCACCGGGGTCCAGTCCAGCTCCGGTCAGCGGCTCCACTCCGGAGCCAGAGCAGTCCGCTCCACCGGTGCCTGATCCAGCTCCGGTCAGCGGCTCCACTCCGGAGCCAGAGCAGTTCGCTCCACCGTCGTCGGGTCCAGCTCCAGTCAGCGGTTCCAGTCCAGACCCAGACGTCAGCCCCTCTCCAGGTTCGGGGTCTTCCACACCAGGGTCCAGACAGGGCTTGGTACTTCGTGGAAGGAAGGAGAAGGGAAGCAGCGCGCCGAGGTCCAGACCAGACCAGGGGTGCAACAGGGAGGCGGAGAGTAAGAGGTCGTCACGCCCGGAGTCGGATCCGCCTCCGAGGCGGAATGCCCACCCGGCCCCTACCCTATTATGTTTATGTTGAGCGGTCGGAGTCCGCACCTTTGGGGGGGGTACTGTCACGCCCTGACTCAGGGGACTCGTATATGTTGAGTCAGGGTGTGTATGTTCTATGTTGTGTATTTCTATGTTGGTGTTCTAGTATATATAGATCTATGTTGGCCGGTGTGGTTCCCAATCAGAGGCAGCTGTCGCTCGTTGTCCCTGATTGGGGACCATACTCAGGCAGCCTATTGGCACTGTCAAGTTGTGGGATCTTGTTCCGTATAAGGTATGTTGTTTGTGTCTACCTTGGACTTCACGTTTCATTTTGGTTATTGTTTTGTCGAGTGTTTATTAAGTTTAAATAAACATGTATGCATATCACACTGCGCCTTGGTCCGTCCCGTCTGTAAACGATATTGACACCCTTTATTCTACAGCAGAGACCTTGAGGATGAAGACGACTAAAAGGCAATTCCAACAAATCCACGCGCCAAAATAACGTGGAGAAAACATTTCTGACATGTTTCCCTCCCAGTTGTTTTCATGAATCAGCAATTTCAAAGGTTTCTCTAGTATTCTTTTACATTTGTTTGTTTCCTACCTGTGCATCCCAAATGGCACCCTATTCTCTATATAGTGCACTACTTTTGAGCAGAGCCATAGGGCCAATATAGTGAATAGGGTGCCATTTGGAATGTAGTTTATGTGATATAGCTACTCCCTACAGTGCTGAATAGATGTGTTTGTTGTTTGTTTTTTGTTTTTCTTCCTTGCAGGGTAATGCATACATTTCTATTTTCTCTTGCAGGGTAATGAATACATAACGTGTATGCCAGGGCCCGTCAGACGATGGAATTACCCCGTACCTCTGTGCTTAGGTAATGTATTCATTCTATACAAGTCGTCTTTATCATAGTAATGTTTACATTTTTACAGTATACAAGTCTGTAGTGTTTTGGTATTGAGATTAACCAACATATCTAACATCACACCTGTATGAACTATCACATCAATTTATGCTCTCACTATGACTACAGTACCTCATTAGAATATAAATTCAGAGGAAAGCAACATTGTACATTTTGGATGTAAATGTATCTATCTCCACTGCAACCAATCAGTCAGAATGTGTCTCTTCTCTGTAGTTGATATCAATCAGTCAGAATGTGTCTCTTCTCTGTAGTTGATATCAATCAGTCAGAATGTGTCTCTTCTCTGTAGTTGATATCAATCAGTCAGAATGTGTCTCTTCTCTGTAGGTGATATCAATCAGTCAGAATGTGTCTCTTCTCTGTAGGTGATATCAATCCGTCAGAATGTGTCTCTTCTTTGTAGTTGATATCGCTGATGAGTCTGAGTATAGCCTGTTTGTTTCTGCTATACAGATTGGTAGGATGACTTCTAGGATTAGAGAGTTTGTTTCTGCTATACTGCTTGGTAGGATGACTTCTAGGATTAGAGAGTTTGTTTCTGCTATACTGCTTGGTAGGATGACTTCTAGGATTAGAGAGTTTGTTTCTGCTATACTGATTGGTAGGATGACTTCTAGGATTAGAGAGTTTGTTTCTGCTATACTGATTGGTAGGATGACTTCTAGGATTAGAGTTTGTTTCTGCTATACTGCTGATTGGTAGGATGACTTCTAGGATTTGAGAGTTTGTTTCTGTTATACTACTGATTGGTAGGATGACTTCTAGGATTTTAGAGTTTGTTTCTGTTATACTACTGATTGGTAGGATGACTTCTAGGATTAGAGAGTTTGTTTCTGCTATGCTGCTTGGTAGGATGACTTCTAGGATTAGAGAGTTTGTTTCTGCTATACTGATTGGTAGGATGACTTCTAGGATTAGAGAGTTTGTTTCTGCTATACTGATTGGTAGGATGACTTCTAGGATTAGAGAGTTTGTTTCTGCTATACTGCTGCTTGGTATGATGACTTCTAGGATTAGAGAGTTTGTTTCTGCTATACTGATTGGTAGGATGACTTCTAGGATTAGAGGTTTTTTCTGCTATACTGATTGGTAGGATGACTTCTAGGATTAGAGAGTTTGTTTCTGTTATACTGATTGGGAGGAGGACTTCTAGGATTAGAGAGTTTGTTTCTGTTATACTGATTGGGAGGAGGACTTCTAGGATTAGAGAGTTTGTTTCTGCTATACTGCTGATCGGTAGGATGACTTCTAGGATTAGAGAGTTTGTTTCTGCTATACTGATTGGTAGGATGACTTCTAGGATTAGAGAGTTTGTTTCTGCTATACTGATTGGTAGGATGACTTCTAGGATTAGAGAGTTTGTTTCTGCTATGCTGCTTGGTAGGATGACTTCTAGGATTAGAGAGTTTGTTTCTGCTATGCTGATTGGTATGATGACTTCTAGGATTAGAGAGTGTTTCTGCTCTACTGCTGATCGGTAGGATGACTTCTAGGATTAGAGAGTTTGTTTCTGTTATACTGATTGGGAGGAGGACTTCTAGGATTAGAGAGATTGTTTCTGCTCTACTGCTGATTGGGAGGAGGACTTCTAGGATTAGAGAGCAGTGAAATCAAATCAAAAAATCAAATCAAATGTTATTGGTCGCATACACATGTTTAGCAGATGTTATTGCGGGTGTAGTGAAATTATTGTGTTCCTAGCTCCAACAGTGCAGTAATATCTAACAATACACAACAATACACACACATCGAAAAGTAAAAGAATGGAATTAAGAAATATAGAAATGTCGGAGTCCGGAGTATAAATATATATATATATATAAATATAGATATACAGTACATGTACATATATGTGATTGGATGTATAGACATTATGGACAGTATGTGGATAGAATATATAGTATATCTGAAGAATACGTAGGATAGAATAGTAAATATACAGCCATAGGTGAATAGGATGGACTTGATAGAATACAGTATGTACTGTACATACCCTGACCACTGCTTAGATCACCACAGTTCACAATGTTCTAGTAAGCCGCCAGAATACTTGATGATAGTTGATTGAAACAGCACGTTGTTTGTAATTACTTCCCCAAACCATAGCCCTAACCTTAACCACTCTGAATTAATACCTAAACTTAGCCCTTTGAGTTGTTTCTGTTTTAACCCTGTAAGCACGCGGAATGAATACATCAAAAATAGACAGTCATCAATAATATGTACAATTTACAGGGAAACTATGAGTTCTTGTTATTGATAAACTGTTTATAAAACACACACACTGACACATGCCCGGGCACACACACACTCTCTCTCTCTCTCTCTCTCTCTGTAACATGTCTTCTCCTTGGTGTTACAGCTCAGTGTGGAGGCTCTATGACAGAATTCAGTGGAGTGATCCTGAGTCCAGGCTTCCCAGGGAATTACCCCAGCAGTGTGGACTGTAACTGGAGCGTACAGCTCCCCATAGGCTTCGGTCTGTCTTCTCTACTGTTGCTGCTGTTGTTTTCTTTGTCCTTCACTGTCACATAAATAAATTTACGTTTTCAAGTTATAGGATAACAATGTTTCTTTGTAAGAGTAAACAGTTTAAAGAAATGCATCCCCAGACTGTATTTTTATTACACCAAGTCTCTCAATTTTTCAATTTCAATTTAAGGGCTTTATTGGCATGGGAAACGTATGTTATCATTGCCAAAGCAAGTGAAGTAGATAGTAAACAAAAGTGAAATAAACAATAAAATTAACAGCAAACATTACACTCAAGTAGTATCTCTCTCTCCTCTCTCTCCCCCCCCCTCTCTCTCTCCCCCTCTCCCCCCTCTCTCTCTCTCTCTCTCCTCCCCCCCTCTCTCTCTCCCTCCCTCTCTCTCTCTCCCCCCTCTCTCTTTCCCCCCTCTCTCTCGCCCTCCCTCTCTCTTTCTCTCTCTCTTTCCCTCTCTCTCTCTTTCCCTCTCTCCCCCCTCATCTCTCTCCCCCCTCTCTCTCTTCTCTCCCCCTCTCTCTCTCCCCTCCCTCCTCTCTCTCTCCCCTCTCTCTCTCTCCCCCCTCCCTCTCTCCCTCCCTCTCTCTCTTTCCCCCCTCTCTTTCTCTCCCTCCCTCTCTTTCTTTCCCTCTCTCACTCTCTTTCCCTCTCTCTCTTTCCCTCTCTCTCCTCTCTCTCTCTCTCTCTCTCTCTCTCTCTCTCTCTCTTTCTCTCTCTTCCCTCTTTATTTTAGGCATTCACCTGCAGTTTCTAAACCTCTCTACTGAAGCGGTGCATGACTATCTGGAGGTGCGCAGCGGGAGTTTGGAGACGGGTTCGGTGATCGATAGGTTCAGTGGGTCTGTTGTGCCTGACTCTCTGTTCAGCACCACACATGAGACCAGCTTCTTGTTCCACAGTGACTACTCTCAGAACAAACCTGGCTTCCACATCATCTATGAGGGTGAGAACATTGGAAAGGAAAGTTTAAAGTATTGGACTTTTGGACCCACTTAAGCTCTTAAGTGTGATGCGTACTGAGTATACGAAGAGGCAGGACGCAGACGAAGGAATTAACAAGGTCAAGGTTTACTTAAACAATGAGCAAGAGAAATAACAAAGAGTAAATGACAAGAAGCTTAACAATCACACACAACATTATCCAGAACAGTCCAGAGCTAAAAAGGGGTGGTAATGAGATGATGAGGTGCAGGTGCGCTGAAGGTGATTAGGGTGCGTTGGGTTTCCATTCCGGTGTTGCCGAGGTGGTGCGCTCAGACCGGTGGCTCAGTAGACCGGCGAATCAGAGCGCCGGAGGGGAGCAACGGCAGCAGATGTGACATTAAGAGCCATTTCCGCTAGATGGGCCAGCTGCAAAGTCAAAATGGGTTATATTGTAAAAAATGTATGAAACATTTAAAGTTAGGCATTAGGGTTAGCACTGTGGTTAAAATTAGGGTTACGGTTAGGTTTAAAATCATATTTTATGACTTTGTGGCTGTGCCAGCTAGTTACCACTCCGCAGAGCTGCCTCCAGAACAAGGTTCATGACAAAAAACACTAACCTGCGACTCGGGAGTTTGGTACCAAGTAGCTTTTAGGAGTTGAACCCCAGTTGGAGTTTGGTACCAAGTAGCTTTTAGGAGCTGAACCCCAGTTGGAGTTTGGTAACAAGTAGCTTTTATGAGCCTTTATATTTAGCCTCACAATTAAGTGTTTTACCATTTACTTTTGGGGACAACCAGAGCTAAAAGTAAAACACAAAACAATTTGACATAATCAGTTGCATTCATGAGTTTTATTGACAAATGGCCAAAAATGTCCTCAATCAAAAACCTGATAAAATTACATTCATAAGAAGGCTGTAAGTACAGAAATTGTTTGCCCAGTGGAAAAAGAAATATCCAACTAGTCAGTGACAGCTGTGTGGAATTTGGAGTTTGGGACATTACAGTAACTATGTGAGCTTATTACAGTATTATAGACACTATGTCCTGGGATTTCCTATGATGTTCTATGTAGAAGAACTCCTTACCTTCTAACGAATCTTGTGTGGCTTGTGAGCAAAACATTTGTGTGTTCCTGAGAGTCTCATCTTTTCATAGATGGGTCAAAATAGTTTGTAGCTCAAACAGTTGGGACTCTACAGACGTTCTTGTGAGAAGAACCAGATCCGGGATCCGCCCTTGTCTCACAAACACCGCTCTACCTCAGCCCCCATTAATCACACAGACTAATGGTTCATCTGCCCTTGTCTCACAAACACCGCTCTATCTCAGCCCCCATTAATCACACAGACTAATAGTTCATCTGCCCTTGTCTCACAAACACCGCTCTACCTCAGCCCCCATTAATCACACAGACTAATGGTTCATCTGCCCTTGTCTCACAAACACCGCTCTATCTCAGCCCCCATTAATCAAACAGACTAATGATTAATCTGCAGTTGTTTTGCCCTCTAACCATTCAAATAAAACACCATTAACAAACCCTTTGTGTTTCCTGTTGACCAATAGCCTATGAGCTCCAGCGCTGCCCTGACCCGAGGCCGTTCCGTAACGGCGTGGTGATAGGCAGAGACTTCGGAGTGGGCCTGACCATCTCGTTTGAGTGCCTGCCAGGTTACACCCTGATAGGAGAGGTCTCACTCACCTGCCTGCATGGGGTTAGCAGAAACTGGAACTACCCTGTACCATGCTGTCAAGGTGACTGGATTCATTTAATGCATCATGTGTTTAATATCTCTGGAAGGATATTTTAGAGTAACATTAAATGTGATGTAGTAGTGTAAATTTAGGTTCACCATGCTGTCATTTAATGTTCCATTTAAACATTTTACCACTTTACATTTTATCATCTTTGAAATTATAATAATAATTTGGTTCACACATGTACAAGTGTGCATTAATGGATCATGTGTGAATCGGACATTTGTTTTTTGCATATCCCAACTGTCCCCTCAGAGACTGGGGTCACAGCCAGGGGTCACGGTCAGATGGTAGAGTATCTTTGAATGTGAAGGTGTAGTGTGGTGTTGTCACTCGATGGGCCTTTATTCAATTTGAACGCTGAGAAGGTGTCTGTCTTAGTTTCATGTTTCACATCTCTGGAAATTGAATAATCATTAGATGATTTATTACCTTTTAGACTCTTACACTATATGGTATTATATAGTGTGGCTGTTTTTTCTCATGTACCACACTGGTTGTTGTTTCTCATGTACCACACTGGCTGTTGTTTATCATGTACCACACTGGCTGTTGTTTAGCATGTACCACACTGGCTGTTGTTTATCATGTAGCTGTTGTTTCTCATGTACCACACTGGCCGTTTTTTCTAATGTACCACGCTGTCTGTTGTTTCTCATGTACCACACTGGCTGTTGTTTCTCATGTACCACACTGGCTGTTGTTTCTCAAGTACCACACTGGCTGTTGTTTATCATGTACCACGCTGTCTGTTGTTTCTCATGTACCACACTGGCTGTTTTTTCTTATGTACCACGCTGTCTGTTGTTTCTCATGTACCACGCTGTCTGTTGTTTCTCATGTACCACACTGGCTGTTGTTTATCATGTACCACGCTGTCTGTTGTTTCTCATGTACCACACTGGCTGTTTTTTCTCATGTACCACGCTGGCTGTTGTTTCTCATGTACCACACTGGCTGTTGTTTCTCATGTACCACACTGGCTGTTGTTTCTCATGTACCACACTGGCTGTTGTTTCTCATGTACCACACTGGCTGTTGTTTCTCATGTACCACACTGGCTGTTGTTTCTCATGTACCACACTGGCTGTTGTGTATCATGTACCACACTGGCTGTTGTATATCATGTACCACACTGGTTATTGTTTATCATATACCACACTGGCTGTTGTTTATCATGCACCACACTGGCTGTTCTTTCTCATATACCACACTGGCTGTTGTCTATCATGTACATCACTGGCTGTTGTTTCTCATGTAGCTGTTGTTTCTCATCTACCACACTGGTTGTTGTTTCTCATGTACCACACTGGCTATTGATTATCATGTAGCTATTGTTTCTCATGTACCACACTGGCTGTTGTCTATCATGTACATCACTGGCTGTTGTTTCTCATGTAGCTGTTGTTTCTCATCTACCACACTGGTTGTTGTTTCTCATGTACCACACTGGTTGTTTTTTCTTATGTACCACACTGGCTGTTGTATATCATGTACCACAGTGGCTGTTGTTTCCCATGTACCACACTGGCTGTTGTTTCTCATGTACCACACTGGCTGCTGTTTATCATGTATCACACTGGCTGTTGTTTTTCATGTACCACACTGGCTGTTGTTTCTCATGTACCACGCTGTCTGTTGTTTCTCATGTACCACGCTGTCTGTTGTTTCTCATGTACCACACTGGCTGTTGTTTCTCATGTACCACACTGGCTGTTGTCTATCATGTACCACACTGGCTGTTGTTTATCATGTAGCAGTTGTTTATCATGTACCACACTGGTTGTTGTTTCTCATGTACCACACTTGTTGTTGTTTCTCATGTACCACACTGGCTGTTGTATATCATGTACCACAGTGGCTGTTGTTTCCCATGTACCACACTGGCTGTTGTTTCTCATGTTCCACACTGGCTGCTGTTTATCATGTATCACACTGGCTGATGTTTTTCATGTACTACACTGGCTGTTGTTTCTCATGTACCACACTGGCTGTTGTTTCTCATGTACCACACCGACTGTTGTTTCTCATGTACCACACTGGCTATGGTCTATCATGTACCACACTGGCTGTTGTTTATCATGTAGCACACTGGCTGTTGTTTCTCATGAACCAGATCCAGCCTCAGCCTTTAGAGTGTGTAGTCTCTCCAGACTTGATTCAGTTTAAACTTGAACGCTTGCTTTGACTCCTCTAAATTCAAAGACAGATTTTATAGGCTCATTGAGCGGTTATGACGGGGAGTTTTAGTGCCTGAATCATAGAATGGGGCTCTGGTCGAAAGTAGTGGACTATATAGTGAATAGGGTGCCATTTCAGATGCAGTCCAGGTAACTGACGTTAGTAACAAGGATAGTGAATTCTGGGGTTTACCCCTGCAGAATACACACATCTATGAACAATAACAAAATCATGTTTGGTTATAGTTGGTTTACTTACAGTTAGCCACTAGAGTAGGTTTAATCACCTACTGTATATCAGGGGACCGGCTGACGGTTTCATTCTGTTCTCTCCTATCTTTCATTCTGTTCTCTCCTTCTATCTTTCATTCTGTTCTCTCCTTTTATCTTTCATGTACCACACTGGCTGTTTTTTCTTATGTACCACGCTGTCTGTTGTTTCTCATGTACCACGCTGTCTGTTGTTTCTCATGTACCACACTGGCTGTTGTTTATCATGTACCACGCTGTCTGTTGTTTCTCATGTACCACACTGGCTGTTGTATATCATGTACCACAGTGGCTGTTGTTTCCCATGTACCACACTGGCTGTTGTTTCTCATGTACCACACTGGCTGCTGTTTATCATGTATCACACTGGCTGTTGTTTTTCATGTACCACACTGGCTGTTGTTTCTCATGTACCACACTGTCTGTTGTTTCTCATGTACCACGCTGTCTGTTGTTTCTCATGTACCACACTGGCTGTTGTTTCTCATGTACCACACTGGCTGTTGTCTATCATGTACCACACTGGCTGTTGTTTATCATGTAGCAGTTGTTTATCATGTACCACACTGGTTGTTGTTTCTCATGTACCACACTTGTTGTTGTTTCTCATGTACCACACTGGCTGTTGTATATCATGTACCACAGTGGCTGTTGTTTCCCATGTACCACACTGGCTGTTGTTTCTCATGTACCACACTGGCTGCTGTTTATCATGTACCACACTGGCTGTTGTTTAGCATGTACCACACTGGCTGTTGTTTATCATGTGGCTGTTGTTTCTCATGTACCACGTTGTCTGTTGTTTCTCATGTACAACACTGGCTGTTGTTTCTCATGTACCACAATGGCTGTTGTCTATCATGTACCACACTGGCTGTTGTTTATCATGTAGCAGTTGTTTATCATGTACCACACTGGTTGTTGTTTCTCATGTACCACACTGGTTGTTGTTTCTCATGTACCACACTGGTTGTTGTTTGTCATGTACCACACTGGATGTGGTTTGTCATGTACCACACTGGCTGTTGTCTATCATGTACCACACTGGCTGTTGTTTATCATGTAGCACACTGGTTGTTGTTTCTCATATACCACACTGGTTGTTGTTTCTCATGTACCACACAGGTTGTTGTTTCTAATATACCACACTGGATGTTGTTTGTCATGTACTACACTGGCTGTTGTCTATCATGTACCACACTGGTTGTTGTTTTTCATATACCACACTGGTTGTTGTTTATCATGTACCACACAGGTTGTTGTTTCTCATGTACCACACAGGTTGTTGTTTCTAATATACCACACTGGATGTTGTTTCTCATGTACCACACTGGTTATTGTTTATCATATACCACACTGGCTATTGTTTATCATGTACCACACTGGCTGTTTCTCATATACCACACTGGCTGTTGTCTATCATGTACCACACTGGCTGTTGTTTCTCATGTACCACACTGGCTGTTGTTTCTCATGTACCACTCTGGCTGTTGTTTATCATGTAGCTGTTGTTTATCATGTACCACACTGGTTATTGTTTATCATATACCACACTGGCTGTTGTTTATCTTGTACCACACTGGCTGTTCTTTCTCATATACCACACTGGCTGTTGTCTATCATATACTAAACTGGCTGTTGTTTATCATGTAGCTGTTGTTTATCATGTACCACACTGGCTGTTGTCTATCATGTACCACAGTGGCTGTTGTTTTTCATGTACCACACTGGCTGTTGTTTCTCATGTACCACACTGGCTGTTGTTTCTCATGTACCACACTGGCTGTTGTTTCTCATGTACCACACTGGCTGTTGTTTCTCATGTACTACACTGGCTGTTGTTTCTCATGTACCACACTGGCTGTTGTTTCTCATGTACCACACCGACTGTTGTTTCTCATGTACCACACTGGCTGTGGTCTATCATGTACCACACTGGCTGTTGTTTATCATGTAGCACACTGGCTGTTGTTTCTCATGAACCAGATCCAGCCTCAGCCTTTAGAGTGTGTAGTGTCTCCAGACTTGATTCAGTTTAAACTTGAACGCTTGCTTTGACTCCTCTAAATTCAAAGACAGATTTTATAGGCTCATTGAGCGGTTATGACAGGGAGTTTTAGTGCCTGAATCATAGAATGGGGCTCTGGTCGAAAGTAGTGGACTATATAGTGAATAGGGTGCCATTTCAGATGCAGCCCAGGTAACTGACGTTAGTAACAAGGATAGTGAATTCTGGGGTTTACCCCTGCAGAATACACACATCTATGAACAATAACAAAATCATGTTTGGTTATAGTTGGTTTACTTACAGTTAGCCACTAGAGTAGGTTTAATCATAATAATAATATGCCATTTAGCAGACGCTTTTATCCAAAGCGACTTACAGTCATGCGTGCATACATTTTTTTTTTTTTTTGTGTATGGGTGGTCCCGGGGATCGAACCCACTACCTTGGCGTTACAAGCGCCGTGCTCTACCAGCTGAGCTACAGAGGACCACCTACTGTATATCAGGGGACCGGCTGACGGTTTCATTCTGTTCTCTCCTATCTTTCATTCTGTTCTCTCCTTCTATCTTTCATTCTGTTCTCTCCTTTTATCTTTCATTCTGTTCTCTCCTTCTATCTTTCATTCTGTTCTCTCCTATCTTTCATTCTGTTCTCTCCTATCTTTCATTCTGTTCTCTCCTATCTTTCATTCTGTTCTCTCCTTCTGTCTTTCATTGAGGCGGCAGGTAGCTTAGTGGGTAAGAGTGTTGTGCCAGTAACCGAAAGGTCGCTGGTTCTAATCCCCGAGCCGACTAGGTGAAAAATCTGTCGATGTGCCCTTAAGCAAGGCACTTAACCCTAATTGCTCATGTAAGTCGCTCTGGATAAGAGCGTCTGCTAAATGACTAAAATGTGTAAAGTAAATGTTTCCCTCCCTCCCTCCCTCTAGCCCAGTGTGGTGGTAATATCACATCTCTGAATGGGACCATCTATTCTCCCAGCCACCCAGCAGAGTACCCTAACTTCCAGGACTGCCTGTGGAGTGTACGGGTTCCCCCAGGGAATGGTATCTACATCAACTTCACCGTTCTCAACACTGAACCCATATACGATTACATCACTGTCTGGTAAGTAGTGGACTTCATAACAGTAGTATGGTTGCATCCCAAAGGGCACCCTATTCCCTATATAGTGCACTACTTTTGACCAGTGCCCTATGGGTATAGGGTGTCAATAGGGTGTAATTTGGGACGTGTTGCTGAACAGCGTATGTGTTGCTGAATATATAATTTCCCCCTTAATATCCTCAGTAGTGATGCGCGGGTTGACTCATAACCCGCAGTCCCCGCGGTTAAGGGGGGGTGGGTTTAGGGTCATTAATTATTGTGTGGATGAAGGGTGGGTGGGTGGCGGGTTGAATGAAGAGAAAACAATACCTTAAAAAATCCATAAATGTATCATTCATGTGCAATTTCTATCAATAGGCTACATTGAGGTTTTTCTTTCATTATTTGAGGATAGTGCATAAGCCTGAGCTTTAGGACCTAACTGAACGCGCACCAAATGCTTTTGGGAACGGGCAGAAAACATTTACGCCGATCCACGGAGGCAAAAAGGACAATGTGGGAGTGAATAAGAGAAAAGCTGTGTAGTGGAGAGTTAAAGATAAAGAGTAGGGAGGACAGAACAGTGATGTTGGGAAAGATTTGGTGAAGTGGTAAAAGAGGATGATAGCAGTGCCAGCTATGTTATGTGTGATGATTGTGAGGCTCTGTACAAATTTGACAGTCACAAGACCGGGACTTTAAATAGGCCTATGGCATGTCAGGGGAACTGTAACCTACTGTTCAGATGGGTTAAATGGAAACTAAAATCTGGACACTGACTGTAGGTCTATAACCTCTCACATAGCCTTAATATTAACTCCTGCATAGTTGAGCATTTCTTGCAGTAAAATTATACACCAAATGTAGGCACAGTTTTGACTCGAGAACAGAAGTGGAGAAATATGATTTCTTTCAGCATCTTGACAGAATGCGAATTCACAGTTAGATACCGTCTGTAGAGGTGCTGTCTTTATCAGCATCATAAAATATTATAGTATTTCAACCACATAAAAGCCGAACTGAAACCTTATCAGAAACATGTAGGTTCTGGTGATCAAGGGTTTATTAAGTCTCCTAGGGCAACATATAATGACAGAAGAGGAGCTGATTGTATCTAACTATAGACAGGTTGACTAACAAATAGACTTGATAAGAAATGATAAGCAGAAACATATTTAATCAGTCATCCTGTCAAAACATCCTTCCTGTCTCTGACTGTAGCCTAAAGTGTATTTTCTATAATAGCGGGTTATGGTCAGGAGCAGGCCTCAGAGTTTCACTTGATCAAATATAGTCAGCCGGTTGAGGATGAGTTATTAGCAATTGTAGACGGGTGCGGGTGAACAAACACTAATCCTCAGGGTATACTGGTAAAAATATTTGTCAGCAGCGGGAAGGAAACAGACCTTAAAACATTTGATACAGAGACAGAAGGAAACAGACCTTAAAACATTTGATACAGAGACAGAAGGAAACAGACCTTAAAACATTTGATACAGAGACAGAAGGAAACAGACCTTAAAACATTTGATACAGAGACAGAAGGAAACAGACCTTAAAACATTTGATACAGAGATAGAAGGAAATAGACCTTAATGTGTTCTCTGCTATCCTCTCCCTACTCCCACGAGCTGAACACACAATGTATTTCTGAGTAAAGGGCACTAGGGCCAAGTAACAAGTACTTTATGACAGTAAAGGCAGTATTTCCAGCTGGGGAAAAAAACTGATATAGCTACTCTAACAACATTTGACCAAGCAGTTATCCATCAATTACATCAGTTTTCCAGAGATATTGTAGGGCTACACTTGCTAGCACTAACTGCATTTGTACGTGTTTTTAAAAAGCAAAGCATTACCATATCATTTTAGAATCAATCAGCAAAATGGAGGGGAATGGAATGTAAAATGTGGAATGTATCAAGGGATGTGTTGTTTATGCTCCGTTTGATTCCAGAACAGAACAGTAGAGCAGTAGAACAGCTCAGCAGCACCATAAGGCAGTAGCACCGCCACCACATGCCAGCCGGGGGAACCAACCCCAGGACTTTCTCTCTCTCTACACTCCCATGGGGACACTTTGAGCTCTGCCTCGGGCTTATAGTCAGGCGTCCACTTTAGAAAAACACTTCTGTTGGACACAGTAGACATGCCAAAAACACTTCTGTTGGACTCAATAGACATGACAAAAACACTTATGTTGGACTCAATAGACATGACAAAAACATTTCTGTTGGACTCAATAGACATGACAAAAACATTTCTGTTGGACTCAATAGACATGCCAAAAACACTTCTGTTGGACTCAATAGACATGCCAAAAACACTTATGTTGGACTCAATAGACATGACAAAAACATTTCTGTTGGACTCAATAGACATGACAAAAACATTTCTGTTGGACTCAATAGACATGCCAAAAACACTTCTGTTGGACTCAATAGACATGCCAAAAACACTTATGTTGGACTCAATAGACATGACAAAAACATTTCTGTTGGACTCAATAGACATGACAAAAACACTTCTGTTAGACTCAATAGACATGAATAGGGTGCCATTTGGGATGCAGCCTCAGTCAGGAAAACAGATGTATCTCTGCACTCATGATGCTGGTATTAGTGGTAATGTGTTTTCTCTGTATAGCAGAGCAGACTACAGCGGCTGAAGTCTTCAGCGATCGGTTCACACGTAATGATAGACCTATTAAGGAGCGGTCCGGAGGGAAATTGCTTATCATTGAAAATCATTAGTACTGGCTGTGGCTGTTGTTGACCTTATTTAGCTGCGCTTTTCGTAAAACAAACTTCTCCTCAGGTTCTCTGGATATTCTGGCTGAGTTGAGCTCCCCCACATCTCTGTAGCTAGTGCAGCACTTAGCTAGCTAGGACCCTGGAAGACCCAGGCCACTCATAGAACAGCAAAGTGCTTCTTCTTCTTCTTCTTCTTCTTCTTCTTCTTCTTCTTCTTCTTCTTCTTCTTCTTCTTCTTCTTCTTCTTCGTCTTCGTCGTCATCTTCATCTTTCCTGAATGTAGTTTATTTCCTTTCTTTCTTTCGTTTGTATGTGTTGGGGTGATTGTCCCCAGAAAGCTTTGCAGCTTCCGTGGTACATAACTAGCCACGACCCTCGATGACCCAAACCCAGACTACTCTGGGTCACAACAGTAAAGTGCTTTATTTTGGTGGGTTTTTGTTCAGATTGATGGTCAAACGGTCAAAGATTTAACAGTTGTTATTCTCACCTTGCTGATTGGCTGGATGGTCATTATCCAGAGAAATAGAGTGCTACGTTAGCTACCAAGCTTTAGGAAAACTAAGGCTGCATCCAAAATAGTACCCTACCCCCTATAAACCCACAGGGCTCTGGTCAAAATAGTGCAATATGTAGGGTATAGGGTGCCATTTGGGATGCAGTCTAACTCACACTCACCCCTGGTTGTTGCTCATCGCTACAGGGCCACAGACCTAGACCACTCTCAGAACAAGAAAGTTAATCATTTGGCAAATTTTGTCCACTTCACGCTCAGAGGATTTACTTTGTCCAGACTAATTACTCTCTCTCTGCTGTGGGACCAGGCTGTACCAATTACTCTCTCTCTGCTGTGCTATCAGACAATTACTCTCTCTCTGCTGTGGACAAGCTGTACAGGCGACCGGCTATCCCGCCAGATAATACGCCGGTTGTGGGGGTTCGAAACAATTATCTCTCGCTCTGTGGGAACAAGCTGTACAGACTATTACTCTCTCCCTGCTGTGGGACCAGGCTGTCCAGACTAATTACTCTCTCTCTGCTGTGGGACCAGGCTGTCCAGACTAATTACTCTCTCTCTGCTGTGGGACCAGGCTGTCCAACAAATTACTCTCTCTCTCTGCTGTGGGACCAGGCTGTACAACAATTATCTCTCTCCTCTGTGGGACCAGGCTGTCCAGACTAATTATTTCCCTCTGCTGTGGGACCAGGCTGTACAGACTAATTACTACTCTCTCTGCTGTGGGACCAGGCTGTCCAACAATTACTCTCTCTCTCTGCTGTGGGACCAGGCTGTCCTATCCAGATATTACTCTCTCTTCTCTGTGGGACCAGGCTTACCAGACTAATTACTTCCCTCTGCTGTGGGACCAGGCTGTACAGACTAATTACACTCTCTCTGCTGTGGGACCAGGCTGTCCAGACTAATTACTCTCTCTCTGCTGTGGGACCAGGCTGTCCAGACTCCAGACTATTACTCTCTCTTCTGCTGTGGGACCAGGCTGTACAGATTAATTACTTTCTCTCTGCTGTGGGACCACGCTGTCCTGACTAATTACTCTCTCTCTGCTGTGGGACCAGGCTGTCCAGATTAATGACTCTCTTTCTGCTGTGGGACCAGGCTATCCAGATAATTACTCTATTCTCTGCTGTGGGACCAGGCTGTCAGATTAATTACTTCTCTCTGCTGTGGGACCACGCTGTCCGACTAATTACTCTCTCTCTGCTGTGGGACCAGGCTGTCAGATTAATACTCTCTTTCTGCTGTGGGACCAGGCTGTCAGATTAATTACTCTATTCTCTGCTGTGGGACCAGGCTGTCCGACTAATTACTCTCTCTCTGCTGTGGGACCAGGCTGTCCAGATAATTACTCTCTCTCTCTTGCTGTGGGACCAGGCTTACAGACTTAATTACTCTCTCTCTGCTGTGGGACCAGGCTGTCAGATTAATTACTCTCTCTCTGCTGTGGGACCAGGCTGTCCGATAATGACTCTCTCTCTGCTGTGGGACCAGGCTGTCCAGACTAATTACTCTCTCTTCTCTTCGTGGGACCAGGCTATCCAGACTAATACTCTCTCTCTGCTGTGGGACCAGGCTGTACAGATTAATTACTCTCTCTCTGCTGTGGGACCAGGCTGTCCAGATCTAATGACTCTCTCTTCTGCTGTGGGACCAGGCTGTCAGATAATTACTCTCTTTCTGCTGTGGGACCAGGCTGTCCCGACTAATTACTCTCTCTCTGCTGTGGGACCAGGCTGTACAGATAATTACTCTCTCTCTGCTGTGGGACCAGGCTGTACAGACAAATTACTCTCTCTCTGCTGTGGGACCAGGCTGTCCAGACAATTACTCTCTCTCTGCTGTGGGACCAGGCTGTCCAGACTAATTACTCTCTCTCTGCTGTGGGACCAGGCTGTCCAGACAATTATCTCTCTCTCTGCTGTGGGACCAGTTGTACAGACAAATTACTCTCTCTCTGCTGTGGGACCAGGCTGTACAGACAAATTACTCTCTCTCTGCTGTGGGACCAGGCTGTCCAGACTAATTACTCTCTCTCTGCTGTGGGACCAGGCTTCCAGACTAATTACTCTCTCTCTGCTGTGGGACCAGGCTGTACAGTACGAAATTACTCTCTCTCTGCTGTGGGACCAGGCTGTACAGACAATTATTCTCTCTCTTCTGTGGGACCAGGCTGTCCAGACTAATTACTCTCTCTCTGCTGTGGGACCAGGCTTCTCCAGACTAATTACTCTCTCTTTCTGCTGTGGGACCAGGCTGTCCAGACAATTACTCTCTCTCTGCTGTGGGACCAGGCTGTCCAGACAATTATCTCTCTCTTCTGTGGGACCAGGCTGTCCAGACTAATTACTCTCTCTCTGCTGTGGGACCAGGCTGTCTAGACTCAGATTAATTACTCTCTCTTCTGCGTGGGACCAGGCTGTACAGATTAATTACTCTCTCTCTGCTGTGGGACCAGGCTGTCCAGACTAATTACTCTCTCTCTGCTGTGGGACCAGGCTTCCAGATAATTACTCTCTCTCTGCTGTGGGACCAGGCTGTCAGATTAATTACTTCTCTCTGCGTGGGACCAGGCTGTACAGATTAATTACCTCTCTCTGCTGTGGGACCAGGCTGTCCAGACTAATTACTCTCTCTCTGCTGTGGGACCAGGCTGTACAGATTAATTACTCTCTCTCTCTGCTGTGGGACCAGGCTGTCCAGATTAATGACTCTCTTTCTGCTGTGGGACCAGGCTGTACAGATTAATTACATCTCTTTCTGCTGTGGGACCAGGCTGTACCAGATAATTACTCTCTCTCTGCTGTGGACCAGGCTGTACAGATTAATTACTCTCTCTCTGCTGTGGGACCAGGCTTGTACAGACTAATTACTCTCTCTCTGCTGTGTGGGACCAGGCTGTACACGATATTACTCTCTCTCTGCTGTGGGACCAGGCTGTACAGATTAATTATCTCTCTCTTCTGTGGGTACCAGGCTGTACAGATTAATTACTCTCTCTCTGCTGTGGGACCAGGCTTTCCAGACTAATTACTCTCTCTCTGCTGTGGGACCAGGCTGTCCATACGAATTACTCTCTCTCTGCTGTGGGACCAGGCTGTCCATACGAATTATTCTCTCTCTTCTGTGGGACCAGGCTGTCCAGACTAATTACTCTCTCTCTGCTGTGGGACCAGGCTGTCTAGACTCCAGACTAATTACTCTCTCTTTCTGCTGTGGGACCAGGCTGTACAGATTAATTACTCTCTCTCTGCTGTGGGACCAGGCTGTCCAGACTAATTACTCTCTCTCTGCTGTGGGACCAGGCTATCCAGACTAATTACTCTCTCTCTGCTGTGGGACCAGGCTGTACAGATTAATTACTTTCTCTCTGCCGTGGGACCACGCTGTACAGATTAATTACTCTCTCTCTGCTGTGGGACCAGGCTGTCCAGACTAATTACTCTCTCTCTGCTGTGGGACCAGGCTGTACAGATTAATTACTCTCTCTCTGCTGTGGGACCAGGCTGTCCAGATTAATGACTCTCTTTCTGCTGTGGGACCAGGCTGTACAGATTAATTACACTCTTTCTGCTGTGGGACCAGGCTGTCCAGACTAATTACTCTCTCTCTGCTGTGGGACCAGGCTGTCCAGATTAATTACTCTCTCTCTGCTGTGGGACCAGGCTGTACAGATTAATTACTCTCTCTCTCTGCTGTGGGACCAGGCTGTACAGATTAATTACTCTCTCTCTGCTGTGGGACCATGCTGTACAGATTAATTACTCTCTCTCTGCTGTGGTACCAGGCTGTACAGATTAATTACTCTCTCTCTGCTGTGGGACCAGGCTGTACATATTAATTACTCTCTCTCTGCTGTGGGACCAGGCTGTCCATACGAATTACTCTCTCTCTGCTGTGGGACCAGGCTGTCCATACGAATTATTCTCTCTCTTCTGTGGGACCAGGCTGTCCAGACTAATTACTCTCTCTCTGCTGTGGGACCAGGCTGTCTAGACTCCAGACTAATTACTCTCTCTTTCTGCTGTGGGACCAGGCTGTACAGATTAATTACTCTCTCTCTGCTGTGGGACCAGGCTGTCCATACTAATTACTCTCTCTCTGCTGTGGGACCAGGCTATCCAGACTAATTACTCTCTCTCTGCTGTGGGACCAGGCTGTACAGATTAATTACTTTCTCTCTGCCGTGGGACCACGCTGTACAGATTAATTACTCTCTCTCTGCTGTGGGACCAGGCTGTCCAGACTAATTACTCTCTCTCTGCTGTGGGACCAGGCTGTACAGATTAATTACTCTCTCTCTGCTGTGGGACCAGGCTGTCCAGATTAATGACTCTCTTTCTGCTGTGGGACCAGGCTGTACAGATTAATTACACTCTTTCTGCTGTGGGACCAGGCTGTCCAGACTAATTACTCTCTCTCTGCTGTGGGACCAGGCTGTCCAGATTAATTACTCTCTCTCTGCTGTGGGACCAGGCTGTACAGATTAATTACTCTCTCTCTCTGCTGTGGGACCAGGCTGTACAGATTAATTACTCTCTCTCTGCTGTGGGACCAGGCTGTACAGATTAATTACTCTCTCTCTGCTGTGGTACCAGGCTGTACAGATTAATTACTCTCTCTCTGCTGTGGGACCAGGCTGTACATATTAATTACTCTCTCTCTGTGCTGTGGGACCAGGCTGTCCAGACAAATTACTCTCTCTCTGCTGTGGGACCAGGCTGTCCAGACTAATTAACTACAAAGCTTTGGGGAAACTAACTCACCCCTGATTGGTTGTCATCTCTCCCTACAGGGACGGCCCTGACCAAGGCTCTCCTCAGATTGGTCAGTTCAGTGGGAACACGCCCCAGAAAGCAGTCTATACCACAGCCAATCATGTCCTCATCAAGTTCCACAGTGATTTCAGCACCAGTGGGTTCTTTGTACTTAGCTACCATGGTGAGTAGTGACCTTTTAAAGTTCTACTTAGTTACCATGGTCAGTAGTGCCGTTTAAAAATGTCAATTTAGTTACCATGGTGAGTAGTGCCCTTTTAAAGTTTCAACTTAGTTACCATGGTGAGTAGTTCCCTTTTAAAGTTTCTACTTAGTTACCATGGTCAGTAGTGCCCTTTTAAAGTTTCTACTTAGTTGCCATGGTGTTCCCTGTTAAAGAGAGTGATTCAGCTGTAATGACTCTGATTAAAATGGACCCATAGATTAAATAGAACCCTAGACTGGACATTGGTAATATAATGAATTTACAGATTTTATGAATGTACAGCCTTTATGAACTTATAGTGTTTATTATCTTACAGCCTTTATGAATGTACGGCCTTTATGAACAACCCAGAAGGATCTAAGGCTCTATCTCAATTAGTCTTTCCTTGATTCCTCTCCCCGCCTCCTTCTCAACCTTAATGGAAGGTCCAAGGTCCCTCCCCTCAGACCTTCTTCTCTGCGTTTTGAGAAGGCGGTAAGGAGGAGAGCGATTGCAAGGACTAGAAGAAAGACGAATAAGCCTAAGAGTATTTAGCACATACTGTAGGAACACATGGGTCCAGATGAGTCTAAGGTTTTGTTTTCTATGCTGTTATCAGCACCTTTATCAGCTTGTTGTATTAGTCAACCTCCAAGCTGCTTTCTAGCATCTTGTTGTTCTTATTGTCATGATGTCTAATGATAAACCAGAATATCAACACTCATCTACTAACATTTTCATTCAAAATTTTCATTTGTTCATTTTACCACAGTTTGAATTATCATTACTTTTTGATGATCGTGGTGGAGGTTCATAATCTTGATAGCTGACTATTTATAGATTTACAGCCTTATTAGTTTGATGAGCTGACAGGATGAAGGGGGTGTCGTGACGTGACTTTAACATTAATCTGAAGACTGCTATTATCTAATCAACTAACTATGTTTAATTGTTACCCGATTATATTAATAATGTAACAATTAACTCATTTGGATCTGGGACACCACAAGAGTGGTTCTTTAAAGAGTCACCATCTTCCGAATAAACTCTAAAAGGTCTTTACCTATCACATCTATAAACAGTCAACTTATTAATCATAACCTCATATCATATCATAATTCTGAACAGTCGTAACCTATTTCATCTGCAAAAACCCGAGCCTTACTTATGATTCAATACTACACAAATTGGTTTAAGGATTTATTTACTAGCTAATTAAATGGGAACACAGTATAAACATACACACTCTGCACCGGTTATTGACTGGAGAAAACAGGTCCCTAGCGGAATGACAACAACATGGCTGCTTTTTAAACAGAAGAGATGGAGAGGAAGAAAGAGAGGGACAGACACTTAACCTTGATACATTCAGAAACTACTCTCATCTACAGTAATTACATACTTGGCACACGAACCGCCGCTCGCTTTGAGTAAGAAATCATGAATGTATTTACGTGAAATGCCTGGTTCGCCGTGTATCTCTCTCGGTGGACAGGACCACCCTGGAAAGGGAGTTGGGCCTTCTCGCAGCGCGCTTGTAAGGCTCTGATTGTCCAAAAAGGTTCCAACAAGTCTTCTACTGTTGTTCACTTCTTCGTAGTTGTCCGGTTTCCGATGACTTTTCGTGTAGTCCTGAATCAAACTACAGAGTTGATTTTCCTTCCATTCACTCTTGAAGATGCATCTTTGAAGATAGGCTAGCCAGCCATATCGATGGTTCCCCAGTGGGGTGATGAGGGTAGAGTAATACAGTGGTTTGAGCAGAGTAACAGAGGTTGGTCCTACTTATATTCACTTTCGAAGATACTTTACATAGGACAGCTAATCAGCCGTACCAGTGATTGTCCGGGTGGTGAGTTTTTCTTCTCCAGCTCATGTTCAAACCACTTTAACACGTGCAGCTGCAGCTTTACGTCTTTCTGGTCTGATATGTTAATTTCTTTACCCATCATGTATACACTCTGCTCGAAAGGGGGCGGTTCCATCAGGCTGACACGCTTTCTGACCTCACTTTGGTCGGTGACTATTAACTGTGCCAAGTTATGAAAAACAATTATCTCATATAACTTCTCAAATCACATCCCTCTCTTAACAAAAACACTTTAATCATTTTTCATATTATACAGTGGCTTACAACCTGGAATTATAATTGATTTTTGTGGGGGTTTGTATCATTTGATTTACACAACATGCCTACCACTTTGAAACAAACAAGAAATAAGACAAAGAAACTGAAAACTTGAGCGAGCATAACTATTCACCCTCCCAAAGTCAATACTTTGTAGAGCCACATTTTGCAGCAATTACAGTTGCAAGTCTCTTGGGGTCTGTCTCTATAAGCTTGGCACATCTAGCCACTGGGATTTTTGCCCATTCTTCAAGGCAAAACTGCCCCAGCTCCTTCAAGTTGTATGGGTTCCGCTGGTGTACAGCAATCTTTAAGTCATACCACATATTCTCAATTGGATTGAGGTCTGGGCTTTGACTAGGCCATTCCAAGACATTTAAATGTTTCCCCTTAAACCACTCAAGTGTTGCTTTAGCAGTATGCTTAGGGTCATTGTCCTGCTGGAAGGTGAACCTCCGTCCCAGTCTCAAATCTCTGGAAGACTGAAACAGGTTTCCCTCAAGACTTTCCCTGTATTTAGCGCCATCCATCATTCCTTCAATTCTGACCAGTTTCCCAGTCCCTGCCGATGATGTTCTCGGGGAAATGAGAGGTGTTAGGTTTGCACCAGACATAGGGTTTTCCTTGATGGCCAAAAAGCTCAATTTTACTCTCATCTGACCAGAGTACTTTCTTCCATATGTTTGGGGAGTCTCCCACATGCCTTTTGGCGAACACCAAATGTGTTTGCTTATTTTTTTCTTTAAGCAATGGCTTTTTTCTGGCCACTCTTCCGTAAAGCCCAGCTCTGTGGAGAGTACGGCTTAAAGTGGTCCTATGAACAGATAATCTCCAATGTGGAGCTTTGCAGCTCCTTCAGGGTTATCTTTGGTCTCTTTGTTGCCTCTCTGATTAATGCCCTCCTTGCCTGGTCCGTGAGTTTTCGTGGTCGGCCCTCTCTTGGCAGGTTTGTTGTGGTGCCATATTCTTTCAATTTTTTAATAGTGGATTTAATGGTGCTCCGTGGGATGTTCAAAGATTCTGATATTTTTTTATAACCCAACCCTGATCTGTACTTCTCCACAACTTTGTCCCTGACCTGTTTGGAGAGCTCCTTGGTCTTCATGGTGCCGGTTGCTTGGTGGTGCCCCTTGCTTAGTGGCGTTGCAGACTCTGGGGCCTTTCAGAACAGGTTAATTTATACTGAGATCATGTGACATATCATGTGACACTTAGATTGCACACAGAAATACTTTATGTAACTAATTATGTGACTTCTGAAGGTAATTGGTTGCACCAGATATTATTTAGGGGCTTCATAGCAAAGGGGGTGAATACATATGCACGCACCACTTTTCCGTTATTTATTTTGTAGAATTCTTTGAAACAAGTAATTATTTTAATTTCACTTCACCAATTTGGACTATTTTGTGTATGTCCATTACATGAAATCCAAATAAAAATCAATTGAAATTACAGGTTGTAATGCAACAAAAATGCGAAGGGGGATGGATATTTTTGCAAGGCACTGTATGCACAACACATAGGATGGACAATTCCTACATGTAGTGGGTATACTTTCCAAGTTGCAGTATTTCCTTTATAACATTTTTAATGACATCACAAAATAACAAATCAAATGATATTAGTGTTCTATAGATCGCCTCCGACCATTCCCCAAGTTCTACTTTAGAAATATTGTTCCAGTATTCGCTTTTGAATGTGTTAGAGTTTCAGCGGGAAAAAGTCTGTTGAAACAAAGACATTCCTTGGGTGGTTCTTGAGAGGGAGATCCTGGCCTTCTTTGTTGATTTACAACAGGGTGTGAGCTTCCAAACCTGATCTGACCTATTTGGATTCTCGTGGACAGTCATGACAGGGGTGTGATTACAGAGAACAGCCAAACACTTGTGTTGATATGTAAGTTAATGTTTACCTTCTGTTGTTGTTTTTGTTTATTGTTGTTGTTTATCTCCCTTCACAGCATACCAACTGAGAGTGTGTCAGTCTCCTCCAGCTGTTGCTAACGCGGATATCCTCACAGACCATGACGAGTTTGAAATAGGTCTGTCACATTTATACATATTCATTCGGTTGTTTGGTTGGCTGGTTATTTCTATATTAATTCATTTATTTATATCATACGTTGCTTCTATTTTCATTTAATTAAATACACTAGTACAATTACAGTGCCTTGCAAAAATATTCAGACCCCTTGGATTTGTCAATAATCTACACAAAATACTCTGTTCAAAAAATGTTTTAAGGTAAATGAAAAATCCCTAACTAAAATATAGTCGTTGTATACAGTGGGGAAAAAAAGTATTTAGTCAGCCACCAATTGTGCAAGTTCTCCCACTTAAAAAGATGAGAGAGGCCTGTAATTTTCATCATAGGTACACGTCAACTATGACAGACAAAATGAGAAAAAAAATCCAGAAAATCACATTGTAGGATTTTTTATGAATTTATTTGCAAATTATGGTGGAAAATAAGTATTTGGTCAATAACAAAAGTTTCTCAATACTTTGTTATATACCCTTTGTTGGCAATGACACAGGTCAAACGTTTTCAAAAGTCTTCACAAGGTTTTCACACACTGTTGCTGGTATTTTGGCCCATTCCTCCATGCAGATCTCCTCTAGAGCAGTGATGTTTTGGGGCTGTCGCTGGGCAACACGGACTTTCAACTCCCTCCAAAGATTTTCTATGGGGTTGAGATCTGGAGACTGGCTAGGCCACTCCAGGACCTTGAAATGCTTCTTACGAAGCCACTCCTTCGTTGCCTGGGCGGTGTGTTTGGGATCATTGTCATGCTGAAAGACCCAGCCACGTTTCATCTTCAATTTTCACTCAAAATCTCACGATACATGGCCCCATTCATTCTTTCCTTTACACGGATCAGTCGTCCTGGTCCCTTTGCAGAAAAACAGCCCCAAAGCATGATGTTTCCACCCCCATGCTTCACAGTAGGTATGGTGTTCTTTGGATGCAACTCAGCATTCTTTGTCCTCCAAACACGACGAGTTGAGTTTTTACCAAAAAGTTATATTTTGATTTCATCTGACCATATGACATTCTCCCAATCCTCTTCTGGATCATCCAAATGCACTCTAGCAAACTTCAGACAGGCCTGGACATGTACTGGCTTAAGCAGGGGGACACGTCTGGCACTGCAGGATTTGAGTCCCTGGCGGCGTAGTGTGTTACTGATGGTAGGCTTTGTTACTTTGGTCCCATCTCTCTGCAGGTCATTCACTAGGTCCCCCCGTGTGGTTCTGGGATTTTTGCTCACCGTTCTTGTGATCATTTTGACCCCACGGGGTGAGATCTTGCGTGGAGCCCCAGATCAAGGGAGATTATCAGTGGTCTTGTATGTCTTCCATTTCCTAATAATTAGTCTCACAGTTGATTTCTTCAAACCAAGCTGCTTACCTATTGCAGATTCAGTCTTCCCAGCCTTGTGCAGGTCTACAATTTTGTTTCTGGTGTCCTTTGACAGCTCTTTGGTCTTGGCCATAGTGGAGTTTGGAGTGTGACTGTTTGAGGTTGTGGACAGGTGTCTTTTATACTGATAACAAGTTCAAACAGGTGCCATTAATACAGGTAACGAGTGGAGGACAGAGGAGCCTCTTAAAGAAGAAGTTACAGGTCTGTGAGAGCCAGAAATCTTGCTTGTTTGTAGGTGACCAAATACTTATTTTCCACCATAATTTGCAAATAAATTCATTAAAAATCCTACAATGTGATTTTCTGGATATTTTTTTCTCAATTTGTCTGTCATAGTTGACGTGTACCTATGATGAAAATTACAGGCCTCTCTCATCTTTTTAAGTGGGAGAACATGCACAATTGGTGGCTGACTAAATACTTTTTTCCCCCACTGTAAGTATTCAGCCCCTTTGTTTAGACAAGCCTAAATTAGTTCAGGAGTAAAATGTGGCTTAACAAATCACATAATAAGTTACATGGACTCACTCTTTGTGAAATAATAGGGGTTGATAGGATTTTTGAATGACTACCCCTTCCTCGGTCACCCATACAACATCTGTAAGTAATTTCAAGCACAGATTCAACTACAAAGACCAGGGAACTTTTCAAAAGCCTCATAAAGAAGGGCAGTGATTGGTAGATGGGTAACAATAACATATATATTCCAAAACATCCATCTTGTATGCAACAAGGCAATAAAGTAATACTGCAACAACAACAAAAACACAGCAAAGGAATACATTTTGTGGGCCGAAATGCAAATCCAACACAACACATACTGAGTAACTCCCTCCTTATTTTCAAGCATGGTGGTGGCTGCATCATGTTATGGGTATGCTTGTCATTGGCAAATACTGGGGAGTTTTTCAGGATAAAAAGAAAACGGGATGGATCTAATCACAGGAAAGCACCTAGAGGAAACCCTGCTTTAGTCTGCTTCACACCACAGACTGGGAGAGGAATTCACCTTTCTTTCAGCATGACAATAACCTGCAACACAAGGTCAAAGCTACAATGGAGTTCCTTACCATTAAGACAGCGAATGTTTCTGAGCGGCCAAGTTACAGTTTTTTAAATCTGTTTGTAAATCTATGGCAAGACTTGACAATTGCTCTATAGCCATGGTCCCCAACATCTTGACAGAGCTTGAAGAATTGTGAATACAATAATGGTCAAATGTTGTACAGTCCAGGTGTGCAAAGCTCTTATAGACTTACCCATGAAGACTCACAGCTGTAATCCATGCCAAAGGTGTTTCTAACATGTATTGACACAGGGAGCTTAATATTTATGCAACGACTATATTTTATTTATTTTATTTGTATTAATCTTAAAACATTTTTTGAATTGTTCTTCCGCTTTGAAATGACATTAGTATTTTGTGTAGATTGTTGACAAAAAATGACAATTAAATCAATGTTAATCCCACTTTGTAACACAATAAAATGTGAAGACGTCCAAGGGCTCTGAATACTTTTGCAAGGCACTGTATCTTCCAAGTGATTAACTTACACCAAGATAAGATCATATGGTTGTTTCAAAGGTACCCCATCTCTTCATCAGAGTGTCCATCTTGCTAATACCTTGACAACTACAGTACTGTCTTCAGACTTGGGTTCAAATAGTATTTGATTAATTTCAAATACTTTAGCTGTGCTTGGTTGAGCTGGCCTGGCACCTGATTATATCAAGCCAGGTCTGATAGTGTTACATCAAGCCAGGTCTGATAGTGTTCAGTGATGTCTATGCCTCCTATCTGAAAGGCTGTGTGTGTGTGTGTGTGTGCGTGTGCGTGTGTGCGTGTGCGTGCGTGTGCGTGCGTGTGCGTGTGTGTGCGTGTGTGTGTGTGTGTGTGTGTGTGTGTTGGTGTGTGTGTGTGCGTGGGTGTGTGTGTGTGTGGTTCCTCCAGGGGACATCATCAGGTACCAGTGCCTGCCAGGGTTCAGCCTGCTGGGCTCGGAGATCCTGACGTGCCGGCTGGGGGAGAGGCTCCAGATGGACGGCCCTCCACCTCTTTGCCAAGGTTAGTATCGGCTGCATCTGCAATGGCACCCTATTCCTTATGTAGTGCACTGCTTTTGACCAGGGGTCATAGATGGACCAGGTAATTTAGTGTTGGCAGATCTAGAGGGCTTCTAAACCGAAGGCATCACTCAGAATTCAAACATTCCTCTTATAACCGTTTGGCTCTGCTGAAAAGTAGTGCACTATATAGTGAATAGGGTGCCATTATGATTCCATCCATCTCCTGGGCTGTAGCACAGAGAGTTCACATTATGGGAAACATGGAGTCAGCTGCCACGCTGTAGCATTGTTTTACCTCTTACTTCACCTCATTCTTCTATTTGTTGATATCTGATGTACACATTTCTATATACAGTTGGAAATATTGAGCTCTCTGCTGACACAATCTATATTTGTTCAAGCTGTTTTAACGTGTCATATATCTACTTTCTGTTCTCCCAGCTCAAATGTTTTGCTGCCCTTTTTGCCTGAATATTTCACATTTGTTGGCAACGTTAACCTTTTATTGTGTTGTATTACCTTCTCTCTAAAAAGGCCTGAAGAAAGTTAGCTGTTGTCAGAATAACAATATGTTAGAAAGTTTAGTAATTATCTCAGACATGCCACCCTCCAGTGCTGAGAAAGGTGCTGATATATAAGCATCTCTCTTCCATTGGGGATTATTATTATGCTACCAAGGGACAAAGCTAGCACAGTGAACCAGTACTCTGTACCCTGAGGCCCTGTACCTGTCTCAGGCTAAATGGAATTGTTTCATTGCACATTATTATTTCACTGTAATTTCCACAGCCACAGTCACAGCCACAGTCACAGCCACAGCCAGAGTCACAGCCACAGCCACAGTCACAGCCACAGTCACAGTCACAGCCACAGCCACAGTCACAGTCACAGTCACAGCCAGAGTATGTCACAGCCAAGCCACAGTCACAGCCACAGTCACAGCCACAGTCACAGCCACAGCCACAGCCACCGCCACAGTCACAGCCACAGTCACAGCCACAGTCAGTCACAGCCATAGTCACAACCACAGCCACAGCAACAGCCACAGCCACAGTCAGTCACAGCCACGACCACAGCCACAGCCACAGTCACAAACATAACCAGAGCCACAGCCACAGTCACAGCCACAATCACAGTCACAGCCACAGCCACAGTCACAGCCACGGTCACAGCCACAGCCACAGTCTCAGCCACGGCACGGCCACAATCACAGCCACAGTCACAGCCACAGTCACAGTCACAGCCACAGTCACAGTTAGTCACAGCCACAGCCACACTATGTCACAGCCAAGCCACAGTCACAGCCACAGCCACAGCCACGGTCACAGCCACGGTCACAGCCACAACCACAGCCACAGTCACAGCCACAGTCACAGCCACAGCCACAGCCACGGCCATGGTCACAACCACTGCCACTGCCACGGCCACGGCCACTGCCACTGCCACGTCCATGGTCACAGCCACAACCACAGTCACAGCCACAGTCACAGCCACATTCACAGCCACAGCCACAGTCACAGCCACAGTCACAGCCACAGTCACAGTCTCAGCCACGGCACGGCCACAGTCACAGCCACAGTCACAGCCACAGACACAGCCACAGTCACAGCCACAGACACAGCCACAGTCACAGTTAGTCACAGCCACAGCCACAGTATGTCACAGCCAAGCCACAGTCACAGCCACAGTCACAGCCACAGCCACAGTCAGTCACAGCCACGGTCACAGCCACAGTCAGTCACAGCCACAGTCAGTCACAGCCACGGTTACAGCCACAGCCACAGCCACAGCCACGGTCACAGCCACAGCCTCAGTCACAGCCACAGTCGGTCACAGCCACAGACACAGTCACAGCCACAGTCACAGCCACAGCCACAGTCTCAGCCACAGTCACAACCACAGTCACAGTCGGTCACAGCCACAGTTACAGCCACAACCACAGTCACAGCAACAGTCACAGTCACAGCCACAGTCTCAGCCACAGTCACAGTCACGGCCACAGCCACGGTCACAGCCACAGCCACAGTCACAGCCACAGTCACAGTGTCAGCCACGGCCATGGTCACAACCACTGCCACGGCCACGGCCACGGCCACTGCCACTGCCACTGCCACGTCCATGGTCACAGCCACAACCACAGCCACAGTCACAGCCACAGTCACAGCCACAGTCACAGCCACAGTCAGTGGAACGACTCCTTTCTTTTACTCTTTCCGCTTTCTTCCCTCCACTTCCTGTTTTACCTCTGTCCTCTCTTTCCTTTCTCTTCACTCTGTCCTTTTTCCTCAAAATTCCCTCTTCATCCTCTCTTTCCTCTCTTTCTCCTTTCTTTCTGCTCCTTTTTTCCATCTCTTTCCACCCTCCACTCCACAGTACAATGTCCTGCCAACGAGGTCCGCTTCGACTCGACGGGGGTGATCCTGAGTCCTGGCTACCCAGACAGCTACCCCAACCTCCAGACGTGTTCCTGGCTCATCAACGTAGAGAAGGGCTACAACATCACCCTCCATTTCCAACTCTTCCAGACAGAGAAGGAGTTTGACATCCTGGAGATATTTGACGGTGGGACATTTATCAACATTCCTAGTACCGCAATTAATCCTATCTCTTCACATCTCTCATCGCCAGATAATTGCAAATGACCACAGATTTAACTGTCACGTATAGGCTTTGGATAATGAATCCCTAAGTTATTAGTTATACGTCTCTAAACTCAGACATTACTCCAAGCACCCTTCCAAGCACCCTTCCAAGCCACCTTGTACTAATCCTAAATGCCAGATTACTTTACCTAAGTAAACTATCACTTACAACCAATGTTCCCTCTAATTCTTTGGGGGCACTGAGAAAATTTGAGGTCTTGTGAGTGGAAACTTGAACGTTGTGAGAATTTTGTGCAACTTCCAGCGCACGTTTACAGTGAACACTGAGGCTGTACCCTTACAGTTTTAGACAGTAGCCCATATGGCTGTAGCCTTATAGTTTTAGACAGTAGCCCATATGGCTGTAGCCTTACAGTTTTAGACAGTAGCCCATATGGCTGTAGCCTTACAGTTTTAGACAGTAGCCCATATGGCTGTAGCCTTACAGTTTTAGACAGTAGCCCATATGGCTGTTGTGGCTATTTGAGCATAATGTAGGCCTACCAACAAAACCAATGGAGCAAATCCCATAACGTTTTCACTTGGAAATAGCTTTTAATTTCTATGATATAGCCTACAGTAGCCTATATGTGGTGTTCAATACAGGCCTACATTGCATGATACCTTAAATACCATTTTTACATTATGAAGGGCTTGACATTAATTAATGATTTATTTCTTGGTCTGTAACACCATGGACCAAATAGCTGACTGTAAATTGCATTGTATTGTGTTGTATGATGCAAGACACCACTTTACAAAATAAAAGTAATTATTATTACCATACAGAGAATTAGACAATGTAGGCAACCCCTCTGCCTATTGGCTTATTTGCAGATTCAAGCCTGTCTCAAAATACAACACTGCCCCTTTCATTTTGACATAAGCTATTTACCATGACTGGCTTTTAAAAGACTGCTTGAAATGTAGCCTACAAGTTTTGTGCTCTTTTAGGAAGCAGTAACTCCAAATTGCTGACCTATACTTATCTAGAACTGGGCTAATAACTCGGTAACTAGCGAAGAATATCAACAAATGTGCACACGCGCAGCTCTGCGCTCTGATCAGAACTGATCCGAAAAACGTCTTCACTCGCTGGTGATTGAAAGACCGATTGTGGGCCATCCCCGCCAATAGAATTCTACTCCTTTGTAGGACAGACTCTGCCTACAATAAAATCACAGACTCAATCTTACAAAGTTAGATTTGGTTTGTTGCATTGAAAAGGGGCTGATATAATGTTGATTCAATCAAAGATAAAACGTTGATCTATATAGTACAAACTAATGGTGCGAACTCTGTGAAGTTCAGTCTCTTGCGTCTCTGTGCAGCCTGGCATTTCTTCTGCGCATCAGTCCTGGGGGAGGTGCACCGCCGGGCAAGCGCGCAGTTTAGAGGGAATATTACTTACAAAGATTGTAAAATTGAGTCAACCCTACTTTATTGAGTTCTTAGTCATGCAATCTGGCTATTTGCTATTGTAATTGACTGCTTAAAGACGAATAAACCTAGCCACTGCAAGGTCGAATGAATCCAACCAATCATGCTTTGAATTCCAATAGAGGAGCTAGCCAAGGCCCCCACTAGCTAACAAGTGTGGTTATACAGAACACTCTTTGGATTGTCTCTGTCCACTTCGAGGGAATGTACCACCTATTAACTAGCCAACCTCTAATGATGTCACACCATGTGCTTTTCTGCGCTTGTGGAGCCAGAAAATTCACCTGAAACACCATTATTTTAAACACTCCATTCTCTTCCCTCTGCCTTTGTCTGTGTCACTCTGTGTCTCTGTCCTAACAGGTCCTAACATCTCTCTGTGTCTCTGTCCTAACAGGTCCTAACATCTCTCTGTGTCTCTGTCCTAACAGGTCCTAACATGTCTCTGTCCTAACAGGTCCTAACATCTCTCTGTGTCTCTGTTCTAACAGGTCCTAACATCTCTCTGTGTCTCTGTCCTAACAGGTCCTAACATGTCTCTGTCCTAACAGGTCCTAACATCTCTCTGTGTCTCTGTTCTAACAGGTCCTAACATCTCTCTGTGTCTCTGTCCTAACAGGTCCTAACATCTACAGCCAGATTCTGGCGTCACTAAGCGGTGACATCACCACGCCCTTTAACCTCACGACCTCAGGTCATCAGCTTCTTCTGCGCTGGTCCTCTGACCATGGCACCAACAGGAAAGGTTTCCACGTCAGATATGTGGGTGAGTATCAAAGTATGTATCCTGTTAATAATGACTTTCCTTCAACCGGCATGTCTTCATACACCCCCCTATACTACACAACCAATAGGAGTTATTAACATCATGGTGAAGGTACAGGGCCACACCTGAAATAGACTGGCCAGTGGGCAGTTCTGGCAAATGCCAGATGGGCTGGTCCATCTTTAGCCCAGTGGGCCGGTCTAAATCTGGGTTTTTTGGCAGAATGATCATTATTTGTATAATAATGGGTCAGGGAGGACAAAATGGGCCGGTTTGTTAGAAATGCACGTGCCGATTTCTGATCCCAGTCCATCCCTGATCCAGCTATCCCTGATCCCCAGTCCCATCCCTGAATCCCGTCTCATCCCTGATGCCCATCCATCCCTGATCCAGTCTATCCCTGATCCCAGTCCATCCCTGATCCAGTCTATCCCTGATCCCAGTCCATCCCTGATCCAGTCTATCCCTGATGCCAGTCCATCCCTGATCCAGTCTATCCCTGATCCGGTCTATCCCTGATGCTAGTCTATCCCTGATCCCAGTCTATCCCTGATCCCAGTCTATCCCTGATCCCATTCCATCCCTGATCCCATTCCATCCCTAGGCCCTGTCAATTCCTAGGCCCCGTCCATCCCTCATCCCAAAACATCCCTGGGCCCCATCCATCCTTGGGCCCCATTACTGAAAACAAACTGGCCTTTAGGATTCCCTACTAATTCCCTACTGAACAGGAATTAGTCTAGCCATCACAATCATCACTGTGTTGTGTGTAAATGTTGTCTTTTGTTGTGTTGTGTTGTAATGTACTGTACTGTTCTATATGGTCTATGTGCACACTGTAAGTACAATTAAGTCATTATTATAATCATTATGTACTTGTCTGAAAGCAGAGAAAAGGGCAACCAGTGAAGAATAATAAAATAATAATAATAATATGCAGTAACATCCACCATGTTGTAGAGACGTGACTCTCCTTCTCAGTCCACAGCAGTACATCCACCATGTTGTAGAGACGTGACTCTCCTTCTCAGTCTACAGCAGTAACATCCACCATGTTGTAGAGACATGACTCTCCTTCTCAGTCTACAGCAGTAACATCCACCATGTTGTAGAGACGTGACTCTCCTTCTCAGTCTACAGCAGTAATATCCACCATGTTGTAGAGATGTGACTGTCCTTCTCAGTCTACAGCAGTAACATCCACCATGTTGTAAAGACGTGACCCTCCTTCTCAGTCTACAGCAGTAACATCCATCATGTTGTAGAGACGTGACTCTCCTTCTCAGTCTACAGCAGTAACATCCACCATGTTGTAGAGACGTGACTCTCCTTCTCAGTCTACAGCAGTAACATCCACCATGTTGTAGAGACGTGACTCTCCTTCTCAGTCTACAGCAGTAACATCCACCATGTTGTAGAGACGTGACTCTCCTTCTCAGTCTACAGCAGTAACATCCACCATGTTGTAGAGACGTGACTGTCCTTAGGCCATCTCTCTCATTATCTCATAAATATAATGTATTTTTCATAAGTTTCTGTGAATAACAATTTAACATCAACGTCAAGCAAACTTTGTTAATTGCTGTACGCCTCCTCTCCTCTCCTCTCCTCTCCTCCTCTCCTCTCCTCTCCTCTCCTCTCCTCTCCTCTCCTCTCCTCTCCTCCTCTCCTCTCCTCTCCTCTCCTCTCCTCTCCCTCCTCTCCTCTCCCCTCTCCCCTCCCCCCTCTCTTTTCCACTCCACTCCTCTCCTCTCCTCTCCCTCTCCTCAGCTATGTACTGCAGTACCCCAGACTCCCCCCAGCAGGGTTTTGTAGTGAGCCAGACAGGAGGGCATCTCAACAGTGTGGTGCGTTGGGGCTGTGACCGGGGCTACCGGCTTATTGGAAAGGCCACAGGTGTCTGTAAGAAGACGGCATATGGGTATTATGCCTGGGACTCACCAGTACCTGCATGTCAAGGTAAGAGCACTAAACACTGTGTCTACTGGCAGGCTTGAGGCAGGCAGACATGTATTTCTTTTTTTTGTCTAGGCTCTGTCCCAAATGGTACCCTGTTCCCTATATAGTGAACTACTTTTGACCAGGGTCCTATGGGTCCTGGTCAAACGTAGTGCACTATATAAGAAATAGGGCACAATTTCAGACGCAGCCTGGTCAATTCTCTCACTTCCACCAGGCAGACAGGCCCTATGTCTCACCCTCATTTCCTCAGCCCCCTCTTCAGCCCCTATCACAGACAGTAGCTAGTTGTGTCGGACAGTCTCTCTTCAGCCCCTATCACAGACAGTAGTTAGTTGTGCCTAACAGTCTCTCTTCAGCCCCTATCACAGACAGTAGCTAGTTGTGTCTGACAGTCTCTCTTCAGCCCCTATCACAGACAGTAGTTAGTTGTGCCTAACAGTCTCTCTTCAGCCCCTATCACAGACAGTAGCTAGTTGTGTCTGACAGTCTCTCTTCAGCCCCTATCACAGACAGTAGCTAGTTGTGTCTGACAGTCTCTCTTCAGCCCCTATCACAGACAGTAGCTAGTTGTGTCTGACAGTCTCTTTTTAGCCCCTATCACAGACAGTAGTTAGTTGTTTCTAACAGTCTCTCTTCAGCCCCTATCACAGACAGTAGCTAGTTGTGTCTGACAGTCTCTCTTCAGCCCCTATCACAGACAGTAGTTAGTTGTGTCTGACAGTCTCTCTTCAGCCCCTATCACAGACAGTAGCTAGTTGTGTCTGACAGTCTCTCTTCAGCCCCTATCACAGACAGTAGCTAGTTGTGTCTTACAGTCTCTCTTCAGCCCCTATCACAGACAGTAGCTAGTTGTGTCTGACAGTCTCTCTTCAGCCCCTATCACAGACAGTAGCTAGTTGTGTCTGACAGTCTCTCTTCAGCCCCATGTCAGTAGCTGAACCTCTGATTGAGGAGAATGTTCTGCCAAGTAGAAACAGAACAGAAATCAAACCTCTTTTGTTCTGTCAATTCCACCTCCTTTAGATGACTCTGGCTAGCTAACTTCCTTCCTGATTACCATGCTGTCTGTGTCAGTGGATGCATCCCAAATGGAACTCTATTCCCTAGATAGTGCACTACTTTTGACCAGGGCACATAGGGCTCATAGGGTCCTGGTCAAAAGTAGTGCACTAAATAGGGAATAGGGTGTCATTTGGCACGGACCCTCTTCTGTGTCGGTTCCGTAACAGCGTTGTTGTGTTCCGTTCACCTAATTGGGTTATTTGTTACCCTGGGAACCACACATTGTAGAAGGTGTCTTGTCATTCTGTTCTGAAGCACTGCAGAGTTAACACCACTGTCTGTTTAACTAGCACAGACAGGTTCATTATGCTGAAGCTGGGATTATATATTACTACTGCTAAGGTTATGTAGCACTACCTGTGAAATAATTGACACAATACTAATCTAGTCACCCACAACCAAATGAGCTACTAAAGTGGTTACTAGAAACTAACACATCATTGATGATTGTCTTTCTCTTATTGCTCTTAAGGTGCAGGTGTCTTTAAGTGGTGTGTTTTTATGATGTGTTTAAGATCCTTTTCTTGTCTTTGTAATCATTGCTGATGCTTATGGTGATCAAACAATTGACCAAGTTGGGATCAATGAAGTTCTACTCTACTCTACTCTACTCTGCTCTACTCTACTCTATTCTACTTTACTCTATTCTGCTCTGCTCTGCTCTGCTCTGCTCTGCTCTACTCTACTCTACTCTACTCTACTCTACTCTACTCTGCACTGCTCTGCTCCGCTCCATTTTGCTCTACTCTACTCTATTCTACTATATTCTGCTATATTCTATTCTACTCTACTCTACTCTGCTCTACTCTATTCTACTATATTCTGCTATATTCTATTCTACTCTATTCTACTCTACTCTACTCTGTTCTACTCTACTCTGTTCTACTCTACTCTTTAAACAACTATGTGGGAGGACATAATGAAACGTGAGAGGAAGGTACAAGAAAATACCTAATACTTAATTTCCCATCTATAGGTGAATGTAATGGTGATGGTCCATGTTGTTTCTGATACCCCCAGGTGTCCTAAAATAGAGAATCAAAAAGCTAGATGGTGCATGTTATTGCTGTCTAAAACTGTTTTTATGGTAGATGTCATAGAGAAGAGGCTATTAGGGGTTAAACAACACTGTGTAATCAGGTGGAATGTGGGAGGAACAAAATACATTGTACTTTATTTCACATCTATAGGTGAATGTAATGTATTTCTCTATCTCACTTTCCATCCTTTAACTAAATATACTTTCCCACAACCCGCCTCACCCAATGTGGAACGGATTCTATTATTTCTTTATTTTTATCAAGAACCTAAGGCTGAAACTAGCCAGCTAACTAGCTACTTGCTATTAGCCACCGTTAGCGGTCTTCACCACTGTCCGTGGCCTGCACTACCTACCAGCCAGCTCTAGCCTGGACAATTATCGGCCAGTCTGCACAGCGTGCTATCGACCCAGAGCATATCAGATTTTCTGCCGGAATCACTGAATCACTGGACCTTAACACCGGACCATCGCAACTAGCTAGCTGCAACCGAATGGCTGTTGTTGGCTAATCACCAGTGTCCCAACGTACCAGTTAGCCTTGAGCTAGCCTCGAGCCAGGCCCATCTCCCGGCTATCTACCTCTCTGTCAACCGGACGGGACCTCCTAGTGTCGACACGGAGCCCCGCCGATCCATCACGACTGGTCTGCCGAAGTAATCGTCTGATGTGGTTTCAACAGGCTTCCCGTTGCGACGACCATCTGCTAGCCCCGGCCCGCTAGTACACGCAATCAACAGCCGTGCCTCCTGCTCGCCTGTGCTGTAGCAGCCTACGAACTGCTCCCGGACTTACTTATTGCTGTTCACTGGATCTCACTCAGCTACACAGCTAATGCCTGCTGGAACTGTCCCTTTACACGGTACCCCATCCTGTTTATCTGTTTAGCTTCAGCCCAAACTTTCGTCGCCATTACCAGTTGTTGGCTTAGCCCTCTCGAATAACACCTGTAATTGCGTTATGCCTCTCTCCCATGTCAATATGCCTAGCCTATTGCTGTTTGGGTTAGTTCTTATTATACAATTTCACTGTAGAGCCCCAAGTTCCACTCAACCAGCCTCAAAGAGCTCCTTTGTCCCACCCCCCATACATGCGGAGACCGGCTCAATCGGTACCTCCAGTGATGCTATCTCTTTTATAGTTACCCAATGCTTAGGTGTACCTCCACTGTACTCATATCCTTCCATATCCTTGTCTGTACATAATGCCCTGAATCTATTCTACATGTCATGAACCCTGCGTCCTGAGTCTGTTCCTGCCTTTGTTGCCGTTTTTCTGCTCGGTATCTCCTGTTTCCTGAAGGTTCCTGATCGCACCCTGTCCGGTTGCCAGGCGACGTTGCTAGGCGGGTGATCTCTCGATTACCCGCACCTGCTTCTCATCAGCTTCGGCACACCTGGTCCTGATCATCACCCCTTCTTAAGGTCTGACCTGACATCCATTCCCTGCCGGATCGTTAACCGTTAACAGTATGTTTTGTCAGCGTATCAGCCTCTGAGTACTAGCGTTAGTTTTGTTGTTTTGCACCTTGTTGACCTGCCTTGTACTTACCTCCGTTTTTTTTCTGTCTACAGTGATTCTCCCGGAACCTTCACCCAACCCCTGCCGTGCCATCATTTAATCTGCCACTTCACCTCCACCTACTCATCTCCGCCACCCGCTCCGTCTCCTGGATTATTCTGCATCTTTTGAATCTGTAAATAAACACTCACCTTCGTTCAACTCACCTTGTCCTGGTCTGCTTCTGGGTTCTGTCTTAGAGAACCGTGACAGAACGATCCGGCCAGAAATGAACCCAGCGGACCTGGACTTCGCCATGCCATTCCCCATCAGGAGAAGATGTTGGGACAACATAGCACAGCGCTACAGGAGATAGCGTTGTCAGTTCAGAACTTTTCTACCAGTCTGACGAAGATCCAGGCTCAGCTCAGTTTGCCGGTGGAGAATCCACCACCGGTTTCACCCATCTCACCTGCCGCTTCTGGAGCTGTGCCCTTCCGTGAGCCCAAGGTTCCGACGCCTGATAAATATGAGGGGGATTTGGGAAGATGCCGTTCCTTTCTTATGCAGTGTGGATTAGTGTTCGATCTACAGCCCCACTCTTATGCCACAGACAAGGCTAGGATAGCCTTTGTCATTGAATTGTTGCGTGGTAGAGCCCTGGAGTGGGCTTCAGCCGTATGGGAACGACAGGACACCTGCATGGCTTCATACCAGGAGTTCACGGCAGAGATGAGGAAGCTGTTTGACCATCCTGTCCGAGGTAAGGACGCAGCTAAGCGCCTGTTTTCTGTTCGCCAAGGAGCTCGCAGAGTGGCCGACTTCGTAATCGAATTCAGGACATTGGCTGTGGAGAGTGGGTGGAATGAAGAGTCACTGCAAGCGGCCTTTTATCAGGGGTTGTCGGAGCAACTCAAGGATGAGCTGATCTCCTATCCGGAGCCTAGTGACCTGGACAGTTTGGTCGCTTTGTCTATTCGGGTGGATAACAGAGTTCGAGAGAAAAGGAGGGAGAAGCAATGGGGCCCGTCCAATCAATCAGCTTCTCGGTTCCCAGTCGGGTCAGGAGGTGGACCAGAACGCGTCGATCATTGTCCACCACACAGGATTAGTGGAGAGGTCCTGCCTCCAGATTCTGAACCCATGCAAGTGGGGCGGCACGGGTTAACCAAGGAGGAGCGCCAACATAGACGTGAGACCAACCGCTGCCTCTACTGTGGTAGTTCGGGACATTACATCTCCTCCACTTGTTCCCAGCGGCCGTCAAACTGCCCGGCTCGCTAAGTTTGGGAGGACTTTTAGCGAGCCGGTTTCAACCTCTCAATAACCCTGTCAGACCCCGTTTCCCGGCTACCCTCATGAACAGGAATCAGAGTTTAGCGATTAACGCTTTCA